CTAACGGTCCACCGACAAATCTGGCTGGACCTCCTCAAAATTTACCGCTCCACTCTAGCCTCGGCCAAGTCGTCCTTCTACTCCAGGATAATCCTGGAGGCGAAGAACAACCCCAGGCTACTGTTTTCCACCACAACCCGACTCCTCCGTCCCCCCCGCCACCCCGCGCAGGTCATCTCCTCCAACCTTCACTGCGAGGAGATGCTGGATTTCCTTGAATCCAAGATCAAGGGAATCCGCTCCGCGGTCACTTCCCCTCCAACTTCCACCCACCACCCACCCCTTCCCTCCCACACTCCGACTCCTACCCATCCTCCCCTACACACCTTCGTACCCGTTTCCCCACCCTCTGTCACTGAACTCATCCTATCCCTAAAACCAACCACCTGCTCCCTTGACCCCATCCCCACTCCACTCCTTATCTCCCAGCTCCACTTTCTTGCCCCACATATCACTGACATCATAAACCTGTCCCTCTCCTCTGGCTCTGTCCCCATTCCATTAAAAACTGCCATCATCACGCCCACCCTGAAAAAACCCTCCCTTGATGCGTCGCAGCTATCAAGCTACCGGCCCATCTCCAACCTCCCCTTTCTCTCCAAGGTCTTGGAAAGAGTTGTCGCCTCCCAACTGCGCTCTTTCCTTTCCACCCATTCTCTTTTCGAACCCCTTCAGTCAGGTTTCCGTGCTGCCCATAGCACAGAAACTGCCCTGGTCAAGGTCACCAATGATATCCTGACCATCTGTGACCAGGGCTCCCTCTGTCTCCTCGTCCTCCTCGACCTATCGGCAGCATTCGATACGGTCGACCACGCTATCCTACTCCACCGCTTGTCCTCCCACCTCAACCTTCAAGGCACTGTCCTTGAATGGTTTAGGTCGTACCTTTCTCACCGTCTTCACTTTGTCTCGACGAATGGCTTCTCCTCCACCCCCCGTACTGTCTCATGTGGTGTCCCTCAGGGCTCTGTCCTCGGTCCCCTCCTCTTCACCCTCTATATGCTCCCCCTGTGGTGACATCATCCGCAGACATGGAGTTAACTTCCACATGTATGCGGATGACACCCAACTCTACCTTTCCTCCTCTACTCTCAACTCCACGACCACCGATGTCCTGACAGCTGCCTGTCCGACATCGAGTCCTGGACGAGAGACAACTTTCTTCAGCTCAACGTGCGAAAAACCGAGGCCCTCCTGATTGGCTCACGTCAGCGCCTCCGCACCTCAGGCGCTGACACCATCAGCATCCAAGGCTGCACTCTCCACCTCTCAAAGCCAGTCAGGAACCTCGGCGTTTTGTTCGACCCTGAGCTGTCCTTTCTCCCTCACATCCGCACCACAACTGGCACCGCCTTCCATCACCTCCGGAACATCGCCAGACTACGGCACTACCTCACCCCTCACGCTGCTGAAACCCTGGTTCACGCCTTTGTCACCTCAAGGCTGGACTATGGGAACTCTCTCCTCGCCGGCCTTCCCGCCACCTCCCTCCACAAGCTGCAGGTCATTCAGAACTCTGCAGCTCGTGTACTGTCCCGCACCAGGCTTCGGGACCACATCACTCCCACCCTCGCTCGCCTCCACTGGCTCCCCATCCCCCAGAGGATTGATTTCAAGATCCTCATCCTCACCTACAAGGCCATTCACGGCCTTGCTCCCTCCTACCTCTCCAACCTACTATCCCCCTACCTACCTGCCCGTACCCTCCGTTCCTCTGGCTCCGGTCTGCTCTACGTCCCCCGCCCCAACCGCCCTACCATCGGTGGTCGGGCCTTCAGCCTCTCAGCCCCAGGCTCTGGAACTCCATCCCCCAGTGCCTTCGCCGCTTCCTCCCTTTCCTCCTTCAAGGCCGGTCTCAAAACCTTTCTCTTTGACCGTGCCTTCAGCTCCCCTCTCGACTCTCTTCCCCCTCCTCGCTCCCTCCCTTCCCTCCCCTCACCCTGACCATTTCCCCCTCCTCTCTCCCTCCCTTCCCTCCCCTCACCCTGACCATTTCCCCCCTGCTCGGGTCATGACCCAACTGTGCAGCGCCTTGGGACGTCCTCCTGACGTGAAAGGCGCTTTATAAATGGAATCTTGTTGTTGTTGTTGTTGTATCACTGTAACGACTAACGCAGGGAATAGTAAATTTCTACAAGAGTAAAAGTTTACAACAACAACAAAATTCCATTTGTATAGCGCCTTTCACGTTGGGAGGACGTCCCAAGGCGTTGGACAGACACAGTTACGGACCTGAGCTGGAGGTCGGGGTGGGGGAGGGTGGAGGGCAAGGGGCGGGAAGCCAGGGAGTTGGGTAAGGATGGGGATGATAGGGTCGCGGAGCCTGGTGCGGGAGATAACACGGGCTGCAGAGTTCTGGATGATCTGCAGCCTGTGGAGGGAGGAGTTGGGGAAACCGACAAGCAATGAGTTTGCATAGTCGAGCCTCGATGTAATGAAAGAGTGTATGAGGGTTTCGCTGTGGTGTGAGACAGTGACATTGTGGAAGTGGGGGAAGGTAGAGTGGATCATGGCGCAGATGTGGGGTAGAAAGGATAGTTGAGGGTCAAACAAGACCTTGAGGTTCCCGACTGGTTTAGCAAGGTGGAGTATGCAACCATGGATGGTGATGCTGTCAGCGCCTGAGGTGAGGAGGCGCTGATGGGAGCCAATCAGGAGAGCCTCGGTCTTGTTGACGTTCAACTGAAGAAAGTTAGCTCTCATCCAGGACTTGATGTCCGACAGACATTCTGTCAGGACAACAGTGATGCTGGAGTCAAGGGTGGAGTCAGAGAGGTAGAATTGGGTCTCATCCGCGTACATGTGGAAGTTGACCCCATGTCACCAAGAGGGAGCATAGTTTAACCCTTTAAATAGTAAATAACGTTTAGTATTTAAACTAAAAAAAGGATATTGTGTATTTTTTAAAGAAAGAGAGGGAGCAGGAGTATTTACTTCAGTAAAATGTGTGTTTGTGTTCCGTTTTACATTCCTCTGGTACCTCAAGCTCCATCAGGCAGTGGGGTTCAACAACAATTCCTTGTGGCGCTTGACATCCTGCAAAATCAGCCTTGCAGATCACACCCTTCCTGTTTCTGTTGTATTCAGCCTAGAGCAGTATCGTATTTACATGCACCATGAATGCTTTGTGTACTCTGTTTAGCGCAATGGTATATGCAGATTGTGTAGTACAGGTATTTCATAACTGAAACGTTAAATAAAGTTTTGTAACAACTGAAGAATTTATTTTGATTGGTAGCATTGTTGAATCTGGGTCACAAGGTTGCAGGTTCAAGGTCCATGTCAGAAACTCAGAGCTGTAGGCTCATGTTACAATCCAGCATTGGGGGAGGTTGCATTCTCTGAAAGCTGCCTTTTGGATCAAACTTTAATGCCTGTTCATGTGGATGTTATACTACTACTAGTTTTCTTCTAATCCAGTCCAACAACTCTTAATTTATCATTCACTTTTGTGCCTGTTTACGGAACTTTACAAGCCATTGTTTGTTTGGGGAAGAGGTATATGTGCCACTATTCAAGTGACACATGAATGTGTTTATAATAATACTTGCATTTGATTGTGGTTTATATTGTCAAGCAAGCAAACAAATCAAAGGAATCCCAAACTTTTTCAAAAGGATAATCCAGTTTGAAGTTGAAGTTATCTGGTGAAAAAATTAATCAGTTTTAGTACCATATTATTGACGTAACTTGTTTTATACGTTAGGACCATGGAAGTACTTTTTTATTTACTAATTTTCTCAAATCAATTCTGTGTTTTTTTGGCGATGATCAATCTATAAAAAAATATTTTTTCTTGCAATTTGATCTAAAAATGTATGTTGTGTTCATCATTTTCCGGACATACGCTCATTGTAATCTAGATGTCCAAATGCTTAAGGTTGCTAAGCTTGCGATATCTCATAATTCAAGTGTCTGTAATAACCTTGTGTGCATGTGAGCAATTGGATTTTTTGTGGTTGTGCAAAGATAAGCTTTTAATGCTTAATTTTGTTCAGTGGCAAAATGGAGAGAGAAAGAGCCTTAGAGACAGAAAATCAGAGACTGAGACAGTGAGAGAAAAGGGGGGCTGACAATGCAGTGCTACATTGACAGGCTAAATCCTGATGGAATAACGTTTTCGTTAATACTGTGGACATTCTTTGACAAAAAGTAGACCCTGAAAAGGGACTTTTATTTTGTGGATGAAAAAATAACTTTCATGGTGCTTGTTCCATTTATGAGTTTGTCCAGTAGATTCCTATAGCTGTTTCCAATTTTTTTAATGAATACCCAAGTGAATGTGCAGAAACTTTCACTTGAAGCTCATTCACGCATAATTTTTTAGATAATGGAACAGTATTTTCAATGATTATTTTCAGATCTGTGCATTCCTGGGTGTGTGGTTAGCTTATGAATCTTGTATTTTTTTTTACCTGGCGAACATCATTCGGATACATTTTTCATGGCTGTTTGTGGGATCTTGCTGTATGCAAAATGGCTTTGTATTTGCCTACAAAATGTGTCACCTTTTTACTTACTAAGTAACTTTAGTAAAAAAAATTGAGATTGTGTACAAAATATGAGATTTTTGTGGGCTAAATATAGAGTGGCTTGCTTGTAAGTTTAAATCTTACGTAATTTGAACAGTTTTGCAAACTGCTATGTTGCAATGGGTGTCTAGTAAGGTCAGGAACAGTTTTTGTTCTTGTTGTTACTAGTCTGCATTTTTAAAAAAGTTGACATTAAGGCACTAGTTTAAAATAACAACTTGATTTTAAATTGATCATGTCATTTTATATATGTTGAATACCATAACATTTAGTTTACACACAGACCTGTATATGTTTTGTGTGAATAAGCACTGGACATAATAATTATTATAAGTGTTCAAGAACAAGTGCTGTGTTGGATTCAGGAGGATGAGTATCTTTTGATGTTCTTGCACACGCTAGGAGCCAAAAAATGAATGGGACATGTTTTCGCTGTTGCAGTCATACCCTGCAATTATGTTCCCTCAGGAAGCATCCTAACAAGGTGAAGTGGAAGCCTAGTGAGTAAATGGACACTGATCGACGAAGGCAGGTATGGACGCTGTATATGTGTGTATGTTGCTTGGGAAAGGGCAACTGATCTTTTAATAATAAAGTATTAATAATGCAGTATCAAGAAAAAAAACCCTAACTTAAAAAGTCATAAATACTAACAACGGAGGCAGAATTCTGTGCAAAATGACAATTGCAATAATGCCCATCTTTTAAACCTAACAGTTTAACTAATTGTAAATATTTAACCTGTTTAGGGTTTTGCCAAACAGTTGTTTATAATAATTTAACAAATGTCTATTGTGTGATGATGAGTTATTTTGTTGATGGTCAAATTTCTGCTGAAATATGTGTTCAGCCGTTTGCAAATTTTGTGCAAAACGCTGAACATATCACGGCTTTTCCAGTTCAGTTTTTCAGCCAAATTAAATTATCCTGTGAATTTTATTTATTGTCTCCCTCTCCACTCCTGAAGCTATTTGATATATTTTTCTTCAATCCTGCAGTTCCACAGGTGCTGTAACCCTCCAGTATCTCACTATTTGACCCTGAAGGTATCACACCTCAGCTCAATCCTGTCCAAGTTCAACACCCACACAAGTGGACTTTCTAGAAGGGAATAGTGATTGGGAGTGAGAACCCTGGTGACTTTTGTGTTTCCCCACCATTCCCAGTCCTATTGTAGAGTTCTAACTGCTGACGGACGTACACTAGGCATTTGAACTTGCATTGTTCCGATGTGTGTGGCTTAATGCAGTAAAGTTGAACTGTTACCCACTAGCCATTGGTGAGCTTCTTGAATTTGCAGGGTCACAAGCAAGGTTCAGATGAAGAAAGCCTTTTGGATCATTTGTTCTCATGCTTCCAAGGCTACCTGTCTCTCCATTTGGCACTGCACTATTTTTAAAACGAGTCCTTGACCTAGCCCTAAACTTTGGGAATCCATACTAGACGTTGATTAATATTTCAGGTATCTGTCCGAAAATTAATCTTCACAAACCCTGAATTTGTGCCCTCTTAACTCTTGTCCTGCTGATGTGATGTATCTGAAAGTATGGTTTCAAGTTTGCTTTTTTGTTCCATTAAGCATCTAGTGAAGCTGTAAGCTGACACCTGAAGTAATAATAATAATAATCCTTGCATTTGATATAGCACTTTAAGTCTTTAAAACATCTCAAAGTACTTCGCAGAATATACTGTAAAGTGAATTGACTATAAATGCCTTTTTGAGGCTGAAGAAGTCTATCCTATTGCTTGGTTCTTCCTCATTGTTCATCCCTTCATTTTTATTTCTAATTGCTTGGCACAGTTTGATTTTGTTTTTTAAAAAAAACTAATACAATTTGATAAGACGCCCATGAAAGGATACTATAGTTTTTACTGATATTTGCAGCCAACAGAGAAGACAACAGAGAAGACGATGTGGAAGCTGTAGGAATACTAGAAAGATGGGTTTCTCCAGTATAAATAGAAATTATTATGACAGGCTAGTATTTTTAGTCTGCTGATTAAAGGATTGTAGCCACTGTTTGGCAGTGTGCCGTTCAATAATATAGTGTGTTGGGTGTATAAAAAGCTAAACCTAGCGTTTCTTATTGAAGCAATCAAAGTATCTTAGTTCTTTAATTTTCTTTCCTACTTTCTGTACTTCATGTGTATTCACATATGTCTTGCTTTTAATTCTGTCTGTTCAAACAACTCCCACAATCTCATTATAGATGTCTTTCCTGCTACATCAAATGACTTGGAAGAGTCAAGTTCATACAAATGAGGCAGATCTTATCAATTGCACTTTATGAATTTGGGGATACTCAAAACGCAAAATACTGCAGATGCTGGAAATCTGAAACAAAAACATAGATCACTGGGAACACTCAGCAGGTCAGGCAGTATCTATGGAGGAAGGAAAACAGGTCAACATTTCGGGTCCATCACCCTTCGTCAGGGTTCTGATGCTGCCTGACCTGCTGAGTGTTCTCAGCGATCTTTGTTTTCGCTTTATAATCACTCTGGCTGAGTAATATGGGTAAACTCTGCTTCATTGACTATTAATTTGTATACGTCATGGGAAAGAAGTAAATATTGGGACCAACACCTTCAGAACCTGTAGCTCAGAGTAGCTCAGGCAGTTTACTTGGGCCATTAAATGTTGTGTCAAATGATACATAATGTTACAAAAAGCATGTGGTATAGATATGTGCCTGGTGACAACTACGCTTATCGTGGTGTAACATTTAGGAGTTTGCTAGTCAGAAGTTGTGTTTATTTGTCTTGGTGAATGTATTTTTGTAGGTTTCTTTTAAGTTTGGTGTAGCATTACTGTATGATTATCACAATGGAGATGAAATTGAGAGGTTGTTATTTGTGGAGTCCTGTAGCTCAGTGCTTAGGGCACTTGCCTCGCAAGCGAGAGACCTGGGTTCAATTTCCGGCAGGACGAAATGTTGGGGAAGTTTCATGACCTCACACGCCTCTGTTTACCTAGCAGTAAGTAGGAACCCGGTTGTTAGTTGATTGGAAGATTACATTTCTGGGGATAATAATCTGTTTTTTTAAAAAAAATTGGTCACTGAATCCACGACTGTTTGTGGGACACTGCTGTGCGCAATTGGTTGCCGCGTTTCGCCAACAGATATACAGTCAATTCACTTTACAGTATATTCTGTGAAGTGCTTTGAGACGTCTAAAAGACATGAAAAGTGCTATATCAAATGCAAGGATTATTATTATTGTTTGACAATCTGAAAGTTGGTGTAAAATTGAGCCAGCAGACTGAATTGTAGCACTGAAGCATTAAGGGTCCCTATTATATATTTATTTGTATAGAATTCAGACTTGGTATTTAATATGATCACGTTGGGACAGCCCAGTGGAGCACAACATTTAATAATAATAATAATCCTTGCATTTGATATAGCGCTTTTCACGTCAGGAGGACGTCCCAAAGCGCTTCACAGAACACACTGTAAAGTGAATTGACTGTATATTTGTGGGCGAACGCGGCAGCCAATTGCGCACAGCAATGTCCCACAAACAGTCGTAGATTGAAAATGACCAATTTATTATTGTTTTTGGATTTGGAGGGACTATTATTAGGCTCTGTGTGGAGTAAGGAAACTTGCCCAAGGATTCGCCCTCTGCCTGGAATTGAACTCAGGTCTCTCACTTGCAAAGCGAGTGCTCTAACCACTGAGCTACAGGACTCCATGGGATGGCTGTTTGCGGGACATTGCGCTGCATGAAATTCACCTATTTGACCTAACTACTGTCTGGAGCCAACTATCATTGATGGTGCAGACAAATTATGGTAGCATCATGTAAATGTATTAAATATATATCTGTAAAATATGGTTTACATCTGAACTTGATTCTGTTTAGTGATCATGTAATTACTAGAACATACGGGTGCAATATAAGTCATGTGAATGATTTTATTATTCTAGTGCCAACTATATCAATAGTTGCTCATTGCTTGGGTCTGGGAAGTGTTTGAAACAGTAACTTTCTGGCCTTGACTAAGCTACTATCTCAAGGGAATAACAAGTTGGCAATAGCTGGAGTCTGGAATAACTGGAGTGAGTTGCATGTCGATTCCAGCAACATTCTGTATATTGATAAAGATGAATGTTTGGAATTTGTTATGCTCCTCAAGATGAGGGATGTTAATGCTGAGGAATAGAACATTTTTCTAATATTGCACCCAGTGTTAGAATTCTAGACTTCTGCTGTCATTGTTCGCATCCCCGGTTCCCTCTACTCTGTGTTAAAATCAGTCTTCTTGTAACCCATGTTAGAAACACAGACTCCCTGTACTCTGTGTTAGAATTGCAACGTCTCCCCATATACAACGGTAACATCACAGCTTGTGTCAGATTCAAATACAGCATGGACCAGTGGCAACGACAAATTACATCAGTGTGAAGCTCTTTCTATTCTTCAACAATATTCTTCAGAATGTTACGCTGTAGTATTGCAGTATTTGTTTTCCTCATTCTCTATTCCTCCTTATTGGCAGTTTTGCGTTGTCATATTGTTACCGGAGACTAGGTTTTGTATGCCTAAAATAATTGCGTGCAACACTTTACAGCAGATAGTGAAAGTAGGATAGAGTCATAGCCATCTTTGTACAACCCATTCTTCGGATAATTAAGAGTATTATATGACTTTTCTAGTCTTCGCTTCTTTAATAATCAGGCATTATCTAGCATATAGATATATGCAACTGGCAGCCGCATTTTGCCCACAAAATACAGTCAATTCACTTTACAGTATATTCTGTGAAGTGCTTTGAGATGTCTCGAAGACGTGATAAGACGCTATATCAAATGCAAGAATTATTATTATTTAGCATATAGAAGTGTTTGAAGAATGTTACTGGGAGGCTTTGCCTCTTGATCTGTTGTATGTTCTATTTCAGCGGCAGGCAGGCAGCAGTTCCGAGGGCACAGAAGATTCTGATTTTTCTGCTGATCTGGACCATACAGACAGCTCTGAGAGTGATGGACAACCACGTCGGTCTACCAGGTTAACCAGGTCTTCATTACGGAATAGCCAGAGTTCTCAAGGTAAATGCTACACTCCGCTTTTGGTGGTTGGACCTCTGCCCCCCCATCCTTTGAAATTCTATCCCACAGTCACTTTACCTCCCCTCCACCCACCTCCTTCAAGGCTCGTCTCAGGACCCTTGTCCTCGATCGCACCTTCGGTCACCCTCTCTGCCCTCAACCCCTCCTGATCCCAACTCTCAGCTTGGGTCCAAATGCTTGACTATCCAGCACCTGGGGATGTCCTACCGACTTGAAAGGAGCTATACAAATCTAATTTGTTGTTGCTGTTGTTGAGGAATCATAGGGGTTATGAAAAGGAGGAAAGATTAAAAAATGTAAAGCATCCACTAAAAGCATTGCACGCTGGTAATTTGTTGTTGGGTACTATAAAAATCAAATGAAACAATACAAATTGCAATTGGACAATAACCAATGTGAAGTGAAACCAAGAGACGGTTTAAAATTCTGTGTTGACTTATATTCCACTTAATCATCAGCATAGACTAAGGTATATATTTTGTCTAAATGGGTCCTAATATAGAATCCAAGTTCACAATATTTAAAGATTCTGTACATGGCAGTGCTTGCAGACGCTGATCTTTATGACTTCAGATCACAGTGACGAGTTTGTGGGCCAGTTTGTAACTGACTATTTCAATGATACGTTGTCTGGGAAACAAACTGAAACAAACAAAAGCTAATTTGCACATCCCTGAAGAAAATATGCTGATTGCACCCAAAATGGTGCCAAGTTGGCATAATTGTATGTTATTTGGAACTCAACGAGTACGGATTCCATGGATTTTAAAAAGAGTTTCTCGGCCAGACATTCAGAACAAGCCTTGTGTGACTCCAATACAAGCAGCTTACTGAAGCAGGTTTGATAAAAAACTAATCCTATACATGCCAGCTCATGAACATTTTGTTAATGAAAGAATACATTTGCTTAAGTATGGATTTATTTCCATGTAATGGAAATGCTGCTGGATAATGGGAACAATAGAATAAAAGGTCAATTACAGTGGCAGTTAATGACAAAGATTTTGAGTATATTAAATCATTTCCCATTCGCAATTAAAATGTCCCATAGTTGCAGCCCGTATCCTCTTCCCGCACCAGGCTACGTGACCCTATCACTCCAATCCTCGCCTGACTCCACTGGCTTCCCATCACACAGAGGATACAGTTCAAGATCCTGGTCTTCACCTTCAAAGCCCTCCATGGCCTTGCTCCCCCCTATCTCTGCAACCTCCTAACCCCCTACCACCGTGCCCGCTACCTCCGCTCAGCGTGCTTCGGCCTGCTTCACAGCCCCCGCCTCGCCTTCCCCACAGTTGTCGGGCGGGCTTTCTGCCACTTTTACCCATTCTCTGGAACTCCGTCCCCCAATCCCTCCGCCTTGCCCCCTCCCTTGCCTCTTTCAAGATCCATCTGAAGACCCTCCTCTTCACCCTGTACACCCCCTGCCTTACACCCTCCCCATTCCCGACCCCCAGCTTGGGTCCGAAGCACTGACTGTCCAGCACCTTGGGACGTCCTCCCGACATGAAAGGCGCTATACAAATGTAAGTTTGTTGTTGTAGTTATACTACAAGAAACCATATAACAAGAAAGGCAATCTTAACATTCCAAGGATTATTAAGAAAGGCAATGTGGCTTATTAGGCCAATTTAAAATTTAAATAGAGAGTTTAGGGTTTACCAGCACGCGGAACATTGTCCTGGCGTCCAAATCGCATTATTTTCCTCTTCAGTGCAGCTGTTTTAAAATTAGATTGTTAAGAGTAGATGGCATTTCTTCTCGGGTGGTCGTTTGGTCAAAGGGTGCGAAATGGAAGCCTGCACTCTTTGGTCAGTGGGAAAGTGACCAAGCACTTTGCTATCTGACTATCTTCATGTCTGCCTGTTCATATTTAGAAATGCTGCGTTTAATTGCAGGCATTTTATTCATGTGTCTGTTCTGGAGAGGGGAAAGTTGTTTGGTTTGAAATTGAAAACTCTTCTAGTCTGCATTGTAGTGAGCCGTGCAGCCCTGGGTGGAAAACTGAGCAACCGATTGAGCAGAGTCTTGTCGGAAATGTCATAAACTTAACCGTGACTGTCCCCTTAAGAGTTAATCATTTTGGAGCGTGTTAAGTTTGGGTGCTCCCAGTATTCTGAACTTATAGGAAATGTTTTTTTTGTCTTTTAAATCCCCTAAATTATACTTTTTTCAATAAATGTATGCAGACTCCAGTCCAGTACGTCAGATTCCATCATATGCCTCGGATGAACCTGCCTATGCTACAAGGAGGGTGACTCGTAGCCAACAGCAGACCACCCCCGTCACACCCAAGAAATATCCCCTACGACAAACGCGCTCCTCTGGCTCAGAAACCGAGCATGCAGTTGACTTCTCGGACAAAGGTAAGACCCAGGATGTAATCACAGCTTGTAATTGTTTTAAATTGATTATATAAAACAACAACAACAAATTACATTTGTATAACGCCTTTCACGTCAGAAGGACCTCCCAAGGCGCTGAGCAGTCAGGGATCCCCACCCAAGCTGGTGATTGGGATCAGGAGGGGTGGAGGGCGAGGAGGGTGACCGAAGGTATAATCGAAGAGGGCGGGTCTTGAGACGGGTCTTGAGACGGATCTTGAAGGAGGCAAAGGAAGGATAAGGTGGAGGGACTGTGGGATGGAGTTCCAGAGGGTGGGGGCAGAGAGGTTATATAAAAGTATATAATCAGCCTATATAAGGCTGATGTGTATCATTATGACATGATTGATTATGGTCCCAAGGTGCTGAAAAACCTTTGAAAGAATTATGTATCATTACATTCCTTTCCAAAATCCGCAGCATTTTAGTGCATTTGTCCTTTGAAGATTTTTTAAAGATGAAATGGTTAATGTATTTACTCATCTCTACCCTTGTTACAAAAAACTGTTTGAACAATTAATAGCAAGTGAGAACATCAGCTGTTTCTCTAGGGCATGAGTATCGTTATCCATGTTTAATCAATTATATATAAAATAAAAGTTTAGATAATAGTATAAATATAGTATTGGCAATTTTGCTATCACAAAATTTAAATTCTGTTCTTAACACCTTTTTTTCGTAATCCGAAGAAGGTTACACTTCCATTTAACAAAGTGCTTTGAAGGAAGCTTGCTTTTTTGGCTTCTAGTAATGTTAATGGATTTATTCTGCTTTTGTTATAAACAAAGGCAGCTCACAGCGCCATGGTAACAGTGTTTGTCTTAACCATACCACTTACTCTGTGTTACGTGTACTTAAAAAGGTTATGCGAGTACTGTAGTCGTCTGATTGCTAAATAACCTTCTAGAAACTGGGCGCAATGAGACTGAAAGCCCTGTTTTGTTTGGATGTTTTAGGCAGAGTTTGAATGTCATACAGAACTAAATTACCTAGTTGAGGCATGCTTGAAAATTGCTTTGTAAATGTAATAGTATCTATGATCCTTTGGGTAGATGAAATAGTTCATTAAGCTTTCAGAAATAGTTTCCCTTATAGCATAAGCAATAGTTATTGACCATAAGGCTGAAAGGATAAAAACAATACTGAAAGAAAGAAACAGTGTGGTTTTCTTAAAAGTTGCCCTGGAGAGGTAAGGGGAGAGAAATATGAGAGGGATGAAAAAAGTTTAGGATGGAAAGTCTTTTGACAATAAAAACAGTCCCTATGCTTGACAGTAATCCCCGTAAAGTGCTTTGACATGTTTTGACATGATAAGGCTTTATAAAATCCATTCCTCCTGAATGACTTGGATGCACTCCCATTGATTTGAGTTGAAGGCACATTGTTCAATGACACAAAAGCAGTCTGCTTCAAGCTAGACTCGTACCTGATTTAGCAATCAATGTGAAAAGTGGCAAAATGTGGTCCAAATCATGAACACAATACATCAAGAGAGAAAGATAAAAACTGAAAAATACTACAGACTCCTAATGATTAGCTTAACATTTTTTCGATCTCGAATGAAAACTAAAGGTATGAAATTTTTTATGTGCCCTGCTTTGCCCGCCCCATCATTGACAGGCGGACCTTCACCTCTCTGCCCCCACCTTCTGAAACTCCATCCCACAGTCCCTCCACCTCACCCCCTCCCTTGACTCCTTTAAGACCCGTCTCAAGACCTTCTTTGACCGTGGCTTCGGTCACCTTCCTGCCCCTACCCTCCCCGCCCTCCACCCCTCCTGATCCCAACCACCAGCTTGGGTTCTGATCACTGACTGTCCAGTGCTTTGGGATGGCCTCCTGACGTGAAAGGCGCTGTACAAATGGAATTTTTTGTTGTTGAAATGTTTAACAAATCAGTGTTTTGCAAACTGCTTGTTTTACAGATACTAAAACTGCCGTGGACCATGATGAGTCTCCCCCACGCACCCCGACAGGCAACGCTCCATCCTCGGAGTCTGACATTGACATTTCCAGTCCCAATGCATCGCATGATGAGAGCATAGCCAAGGATGCTTCAATGAAAGATTCCGGAAGTGACCTTTCACACAGGCCCAAGCGCCGGCGTTTCCATGAGAGCTACAATTTCAACATGAAGTGTCCCACTCCTGGCTGCAATTCTTTAGGTAGGGAAGAGATGTAGTTACTGGGATCAACAGAGATCTCTTTACAGTGATGACTTTAAAGCTTTAGAAAGGGACCAACTAGGCTGCCAATGTTTAACCAATGAATGTGTTGCGCTAATTACAATATTGCTTTAATTCCTATTTTATGAGCAACCCATGTTATAACGGGATTCCACTGCATTTAAGAAACAGTTTGATCCTGTCAAAAGGATGAATTTAGAGTTTGGTTAGTAAAACCAACCACTGTATTTTTCTAGTATTTTCTTGCTTCACATATGTTGGTCCATCTGCGTTGGTGGAGCAGTCTATACTGACACCTGCTGGATCTTCTCAGTTTATCAGCCTGCTTATTTCTTACTGTTCCTTTTGGATTTCATACCAGTGAAAGATTCCGGTTATGCGGAATGACGTGATTGAAAGGAAAAGGCAACACTTTTTAGGAGAAAATGTTGCATTGCAACTTATTTACAGTAATTTTAAAAGATTATTTATGCGCTCATTATTTATTGCTGTATTGCTACAGTCATAAGGTAATGTACTGTTTCAGGTCTCCAAAAATTCGCCGGTTATGTCTGTTCATTCCTCTCTTTGGGTCAAAGTACACACATTTTTCTCTGCCAAGTACCAAAGCTATTGTGACATTGAGGTGAGGTGGGAGTCAATTTGTGGAATGTAGTGTTATCTTTGTGTTTTGTGTTGCTATCTTGCTGCTGACGTAGATGTTTTGTTATTAAATACAGGACATTTAACTGGAAAACACGAGAGGCATTTCTCTATATCTGGCTGCCCACTGTACCATAATCTATCTGCCGATGAATGTAAGGTAAAGTAGACTCCATCCTATAATGTAGACCGAAAAAAAATCTAAGCAATACTGGTTAAATGCCATTCTACCCACCTGCCTTTGTGGACAAAGGAAGTTATTATAGTGCATGATAAACTCTGACAGTCAATTTTATATATTTCCACCTTCATTACATCTCCATTATAAGCGTGTCTTTGTTTTCAAAGGACTACATTTGACCTGATTTGACAGAAAACTAAGATGAAAGTTCTTGTGAAGAAATGAATCATTTTAAACCCATCTGAGGGAGTTCTAGAGTCAAGACTGTACACTGTTTGAGTGAAATAAAAGCAGAAAATTCTTGACATTTACAGCAAATCAATCAGCAGCTATTATAAAGTCCCTCATTAGAGTGTGCGTTCGCTTATAATGCAATGTCTTGTGGCTCCATGGTTATCAGAAATGTGGTATTTCCAGTCTCTGGTGAGGACTGACCCAATTCCTGTGCCTTTACCTTTTCTAAATCATAACCTTGCAGCTACCTTTTACTGAACAAATTGCCTGCCACAGGATTCTACTCCCAATACCAACCAGACATGTTTTCCTCCCGAGGCAGCTGGTATGCATATCTATCACCAGCTTGGAATCGTGAGTTATGTTCCTGTGAGTTAGGAATTGTCCCCGTTGACAAGTGGGCGGGACACAAATAAAATACAACCATTGCTGGATGTGCTAGTGGGAAGTGGAACTACATGTTTGGGCCTGAGCTAGAGACAAAGCTCCAAGGTTCAGACTCATAGCCTCCTGCTCGCAAACATACTCCACAGAGCATGTTGTTAATTGGCACATGTGCCAGATTAGCTGCATCCTGATCAGAATAGTGGCGTGCCAATGCACAGCAACACTTAGAAGGTGTTTTTCCATCTGTAATACTGTCAGTGTTGCATTAACTTGACTGTAGAAGAAGCAGTGATCCATGTTTCCTTTATATTTGCTAAGATCTCATCGCTCACCTGGGTTTGAATGATAAGCATTATTCATTCTGCTTACTTCATGATGCAAAATGTAGAAATTGGCAACTTAAATATTTGCACTGTTTTATAAGTTTGATATTAAGTCTCTTGCTTTCTGGAGCTTGCCCAGTTTTTCTCTTCTAATAGAGGAGCGTTGGTACTTTGCAGGTTAGAGCTCAGCAGCGTGAAAGGCAGATTGATGATCGTGCACTATCACAGAGGCAAGATGAAAACAACAGACATGCGACCAGACATCAGGCGAGTTTTTCTTGTTTCTGCACTCAGAAATATTAATTTAAAATAAAAGGTAGAGATACGGAATGGAAATAATAATAATAATCCTTGCATTTGGTATACAACGACAAAAAAATTACATTTATATAGCGCCTTATCACATCTTGTAGACATCTCAAAGCACTTCACAATAAAGTGAATTGACTATATTTTGTCGGCGAAACACAGCAACCAGTTGCGCACTGACTGTGACAAAGCTGAACATCTTGGTAACAGAAATAAACTTAAATTACATATTATGATGTGAGGCAAGAGGTTTGCGTGTTTATTATGGGATCATTTCTATATCACCAGTTATGTATTAAAATTGAAATTCTGCAAATACTGTAAAGATGAAGGACTGAGTATATAGGACCAGATAGTTTATTTACATTGTTCTTTACTCATCTTTACAGAAATAATTTACTGATGTGGTGTGTTCTAACCCTAACCCAAACTTGTATTTCTTTTCTTTCAGGCTCCAACAGAAAAGCAGCTGAGATATAAAGAAAAGGTGACAGAACTTCGTAAGAAAAGAAATTCTGGACTGACCAAAGAGCAGAAAGAGAAATACATGGTAGGATTATTTTTTTATATTTTTATAATCCTTTTGGATTTAATTTGTTTGACATTTTGAAACCTGGAAAGCCTGAAGACACACGTGAAGTAAAAGGTCCTGCTAACTGTGCTCCTGTGCTCTTGTTTGTCTGCTCAAATATGTATTTGTATACGTGTGTGTATGGGTTTAATTCAGCTTTAATGCCTCACCTGCATGATGTATTTGGACAAAAATGTCGAAGGTCTTTTTACTCAGCATTAGAATTTCAGATCACCTCTGTAATGGAAGCTTGAACTATTGAGGTGGGGGATAAAGAGGCATTTGTTTTAAGTGGTTATCTCTGGAGCCTGATGTCACTTATAAAAAAAATTGTAACATGACTATGTCCACTGAATTATTCTTATAATCATAGGATTTACATAAATCTAATTTAATGCCATAAATGTAGATATTTATTTTTCCTTACATATGTCTGGTGTCTTTTCAAAACACATATATTGCACTCGGGTAACTTTGCACTTTGCAGAATTATTCTTTTAATTACCATGGTGACGAAACAAAATAGAGCCCTATTTTGAAGCATTGATGTGTTGTTTTTATAACTTCCATTCAGTGGCACAATTGAGTTATGTAATAATATGATATTAACCTTCATATTGCAGAGCCGTCCTTGGAAATTCCAGGCACCTTTTCCGTGGCTTTTTTGTAATAAAAATCCTTTTTCACTCATGCATCACAATATATAAGCACTTGTATCAGAGTAATTCAAGTGCTCATATGTAAAGAGTAGCTTTTTTTTCTGAAATACTGTAACCCTATACAACAAAAACACCTTAAAAAGCATTTAAAATAATTTCCAACACTTCTATTCGTTTTACCTATTTGCTCTTTTTCCTTGTACTCTCTTTCTCTATTATTCTAGCTTTACTTTTTTCTATGTAATGGTTTTCTTCTGCCTCTTGGTGTCCACCATGTGTTTTGGTGATTGGAGGCAAATCCCCCCCCCCCCAAATTAGGCTTTTATTGTCGAACATTTTACTTCTGACACTCGTCCCTGATGTTTGCTATGCACTGTTGATAATTTGTAGTCAAAGGTCCATTTTTGGCTTCTCCTAGGTATTAATAGGTCACGGTAGTGTAGACAAACCCTACGTTAATTTAACCCACGAGCTTGCAATTTAACAGTTGTTATGATGTTGTGAAACCTACTCTGGCTGCTAGGATTTGTAATTCAAGATTAGGAAAGTGAGAAATATAGTAACCAAAGTTGATGCTCACAACCTCTGGTCAAGCCACCTCTGGTAATGTCCATCTCTGCCTGTTAGGTCTCAGTATGCAGCCGATTTTCTTTCACAGTGAAGCTAGTTTCAAGATTTGTGCTTGTGCAGTTGAACTTTCTGATGCAAGTTGCAGGACAAAATATTTTAACAAGCCCCCACATGGTGTAATGGATAGCTTATACACCGGGCCTTATGGAACAGGCTCCCTAGAGAGACAGTGGAAGCAGAAAATGTAATTTGTTTCAAGAACAAATCAGATAGATTCCTGCTAGAAAATATCTCAAGATACAGTACATAATTTGGTTCACGACATATCAAGTGACTGCCAGGTTGGTGGATGACGAACTAGATGGACCTTGGTCTTCTTTCACCTGGCAAATTCTTATGTTCTTATGTCTCACTAGTTTGAATCCGTGCTGAGTTTGCAGTTCTCACTCAGTCTGCTGCATGGGGAAGCTAAATTGGCTTCAGTCTTAACCAAATTTAGGGAGGATAACATCAGTTGGGTTTCGTAGTCCTGATCCCTCTTTAATATCCTCTTGGATTAGGAGGTCAGGTTCTGCTGTGACACCTCCGCAGTTGAGTGGATTAGTTGACACTCACTGGCAAGACTCACATGTGGATAATGACCACTTAGGCAGGATACTGGAAGACAGTCAATGAATGCCTGTGGAACGTCACCTCAGTTTGAGGAAGAACTTCACCTCAGCTTGAGGAAGCTGGGGACAGGAGCAGGGGCGGATGTCAACAGGAAAATCAAGAAGACAAAATGAACAAACTTTTTTTTAAAAAAAAGAATCAGTTCAGTTTAACTACCTATACTACAGCATTATATTTTTGTCATCGCTAAAAAAAAAAACTGTTTAGTAGTCTCCCTTCTGGAACGATCATCAATATAATTTAGGATAAAACACTACTTAGGACACAGCTTGTTGGGAGGGAATAATGCAGATTCAGTTACAACATTTCAGTTACAATAAACCCCCAGCTTACCGAACTCCCAACTATCGGGAATTCATACCTAGCTGAACCAGGCCCAAAATGGAAACGTTTTAAAATATTTTCACGGATCCACGTGTGGACTCCAGTCGCACCCCGTCCTCAACAGTTGCCAGGAAAGGATATCGACTTTGACTCCGTTTGAATCCCAAGAGCAGGAGAGAGCTTATTCACTGTATTCCGCTTGTGGGATGCAAATAATTACAAATTATCGGCATTTTTTGGTGCTGGCTTTTTTCAGAACCGAAAAATGCCAATACCTGCATTGTAATTACTCTTAACCGGAAATTCTGGCTCACTGGGCTGGGTCGCCCCTCCCATGTCCAGCTAACTTGGGTTTTAGAGTATATTTTGTTAATCTTACTTCTAATTATCTGTTCTCTGGGGACAGCCATACAGCTTAGTAAGGGGTTGTAATGTCGAGAGTTCTTATTGATAGGAGTTCATTCTGTCCCAAAGATGTTGACTCTTGGAGTATGGTTCCATGAGCACCTTGTCCAAATTGGAACATTGTTTACGTTGGGAGCTTGGCTAAAATTTGAATGTCAACAGGTTTGTTTGATCTTAAAGCAATAACGCTGAGCTTCAACTTATTTCCATCCAATGTCCACACACTTTCCAGCATTAGTTAGTGTTTCTTCTCTTCCTCCCTTTACTAACCTAGGTGTGCTGAATCTAGTCATAGCACCCTAACTGCTACTTGGGATGCTAACTGATTTAGCGCAGTGCAAGAATTGAATGTGCAACTTTCTGACAGATATACAGTACAATTTACATCTATGTTATGCCTTTCATGTAAGCACATATGCAACATGTCATCTGACCACTGCATTGTCGGTCTATCGAGTCACCTCATTCCAGGTTGAGTGACTGGATTTCGGGAAAGATCCATTCTGCCGTAGATTAGAGGAAAAAAATGTTCCTTTTTAATTTCTGTAGATTATTATCACCAGCAGAGTATCCTTTTATCATTTTATTTCTTTGTGTGCTGCAGCATACTGATCAAAGGTGTTGATTAAAGATTTTATTTCTGAGACATCTTGACAGCAACATTGATTTCCCAACTGTATTTGATCGCCTTCCCAGTTAGGTTTAGCTGCTTTTTGTACAATGTACAACCAATGTTTAGAAAGCTGATTTGTTGTACTCTGTTCAACATTTTCAGCATTGCATTTTCAGTTTACAAGTGACTTCTGTTTTGGTATGAGTAAACAAATGGAAGATTGTACTATTTTTTATGGCTGGTGCAGCGAGAGAACAGTCATATTACACCTGTGGTTTCATAGATTTATGTTATTCCCTGCCCATGGTCCATATTGCAACTTGGTAACCCCCTAAAGTACATAAGATAATAATAATAATAATCCTTGCATTTGATATAGCGCTTTTCACGTCTTCTAGATGTCTCAAAGCGCTTCACAGTAAAGTGAATTGACTATATTTGTGGGCAAATGCGGCAGCCAATTGCGCACAGCAATGTCCCACAAACAGTCATGGATTGAAAATGAGCAATTTATTATTGTTTTGTTTTGGAGGGATTATTATTAGGCGTCTGGAGTAAGGAAACTTGCCCAAGGTTTCGCCCTCTGCCTGGAATTGAACTCAGGTCTCTCACTTGCAAAGCGAGTGCTCTAACCACTGAGCTACAGGACTCCACATTACGGATCACTACAGTGCAATAAGAATTGAGGTGCTATTGTAATATAGGACTTAAACTTGGCTTCTCTCTTTATCTTTGAAAGGTTATTAAAGCAGTAAAGTGTGAAATTCCCCAATGTGATCCCAGTTCTAAATGAAAAGCTTGCCTTTGTTTGCTTTGTTTGCCTCAGTTTGCTTTATCTACCTGATAATTGAAGCAAAGCTCACAAATTGGTTTAAGAAAGATCTTTTCTAGGGGCCTGGGTGGAAGCTCTTAGGAGTGGGGCAACCTTGAGTAGCTCTTCCCCACAATCATAGTCCAAATGACTAAAACTTAGTTAAATTCCATTTAGGCAATTGCTGGTGAAACGTGTTAGCATTGTCACACTGGACTTTTTTTTAGCAATTGAAAAATGATTATTAAATATGATAACCGCTTATTAGGTTGTGGGTGTTGGAAGCTATGGCCCCAGCTGTGAAACTTAAATGCAACCAGGAGTTAGCAACAGCATTTAGTTTAATGATAAATGCTGAGGTTTTCTGGAGGCCAATATTGAGGGGTTTAAATGAGGGACATTGTATTTACATTCGATCTCAGTTTTTGAATGATTTTCACTTTTCTCTGTGTGCTGGTGGGGGTCGATGCCAGCAGGGAGTATTGTCACAGCTGGCTGGACTCGAAGTTAATACAAAGGTTTCCAGTGTCTTGAGCGTTTCGACTCGAGCTCGGGCACCATCTGCTGCACTTCCTGCTCCTTCCGTTACTGCAGCTCCAGCAGCAAGGCTGGGCTCAACCAGGGCCAGTGTGACAACAAGCAACAGGCGGGAAGTTCCAAGAACAGTCTGGGCAGTAACGGCAACAGCAGCAGCAGCAACAATTCATAAGCAGGTAAAGAGGGTGGTGGGGGCTTAGCTACATAGCAGGTTCTGGGGAGTAATCATATCAGCAAAACCTGGCACCAGAAGTCATCTGGTTAGGGTGTGATTTCATTCATGTCTTGGGGCTTTTAGTAAAGGTGCCAACTTGAAAAAGTAAATGCGTAACTTTATAAAAATTTAAATATTGTCAATTTGCAGTAGAATCGCCATCTATAAAGCTATTAGTTAGGAAGTTCACTGGTTGCTTTCCCAATCTATTTGTGAGAATAGAAAATTCATGTCCTGGTAATAGGAGAAGGTAGATATAACATTATAAGTTAGGCACCTTGCTGTTGGAACCTGTGAGTTTCTGGGCCCAACTTAACTTGCGGTTATTGTACTTTAGTGATTTATAGATACTACGGTGAAAGATTGGCTTCACTGGCAGTGACCTATCCATTATAAAAGGACATGGGGAAATTGTAGGACATGTATTGCATTGTACAAAAATGAAAACTTAATTTTTACAATTCAGGATACAATCTAAGACTTGAATACTTTTTTCCGCAATACTTATTGCATCTTGTGTGAAAACCAATTTGTGTGCCTTAGGTGTTAAGCTGCTGACATAGATTCTTCTTTACTTGCTAGCTTAAAGTACAGATGTAATTCTAGTCTTTATGTAATCTGTATTTGTGATTATAAACTTGCTTTATAATTCTCCTTATCCTATTAGACACTGGAATGGGTCACATAATGCACTGGCTCCCTGGTTATCTTTCTTTCCTTATCCATTGGAAAAAAAACTTCTTGGATTTGAATCACATTTCATAAATGTTTCCCATTCCATTGTGCACTTAATTTCTTCCTATAAAATGCCCTTTTGTCTGCCTGACACGCAAAGAAGTGAAGTTGCCTCACTCACGTAAGAAATCTCTCCTTAATGAGGATTTTTTTCCTCATGCTATGGACTCTTTTTCAAAACTGGGTTGGATACTCTTTAAGCATGCTGATGGGTTTCCCCATGATTCAGACCACCCCCACCCCCCCCTCCCACCACACACAAAACAGAATCAAAACAAAATACATCTCCAATATTTCATCAATATTTCATCTGTCTGGAACATTCAACGTTTCACTTCAGCTTTAAAGACTTCTCAGACTTTTGTCAAGGTCGCTGGTGGAGTTCTTGGTTTCTTTCAGTGTTAAAGCTATTGTGCATCCATAAATTCTTCAAGAGGCATTGCTGATGTGTGGCATCCAGTAAGCTATAGATTTAATTCAACTCTAACCAAAGTTCTAAGTAACTTATTTTCATTAAATTAGTTTACCAAATTTCATGGTGGGGCTTGCTTGTGCTAGAACAGTCTCAGGCTGCTAAATTTATATCACACAAACAATAACCAGATACTTTGCGCTGCTGCAAAATGCACATTTTTAAAAAAAAAACTTGCACATAACGACTTAAGTAGCACCAGTGTGTACTTGGTGTTGAATTAACACAAATAGGATTTTTATTTAAGATCTTGTATATCTGTATTTTTGTCTTATGATTGCTCGTTGAATTAGTTGCACTCTTTCAAAACGGATCCCAGGAGAATATGTGTGAAACGCTCACATTTCTGTTTCTGATTTGTGTGTTTAAAAAAAAATGTAAAGAACTGACACCATGTTAATTAGGGCCAATTTAATCAACTATTGGTGTTATGTTCTACTTAATAATCCTTGCATTTGATATAGCGCCTTATCACGTCTTTAAGACGTCTCAAAGCGCTTCACAGGATACACTGTAAAGTGTAGTGACTGTGTATTTTTGGGGCGAAAAAGATACTTCTATTTAATAATGTGCCTAATAGCTTTTGACTGTTGTTGCGTATGACAGTGTACTATATTTGGGGTTCTTAAACCTACAGGAACACAGACAAATACATGGGAATACAAGAGAGCCACTCTTGGACAATCTTACTTCTGACTTTGACCTGGAATTGTTCCGGAAAGCTCAAGCTCGGGCTTCTGAAGATTTGGTATGAATTTATGCATTTGTTATGAAATTTTTCATACCATACATTGCTCTCATTCTCCGAAAATTATATGTATAATACCGATATCGAGAGACTTTTATGAGCTGCACTTTGAGGATTAGTCTCGACCCCTCCCTTGCCTCCTTCAAGACATGTTTCAAGACCCTCCTCTTCAACCGTGCCTTCGGTCATCCACCTACCCCTAAATCCCAACCACCAGCTCAGGTACGGATCCCTAACTGCACGTTGGGACGTCTGCCTGATGCGAATGGCGCTGTACAAATATAATTTGTTGTTGTTGTTGCTTTGAGAGTTAATCTATGACTACTTTTCTGTTACTGTAGGAAAAGTTGAGGTTACAAGGCCAAATTACAGAAGGCAGTAACATGATTAAGACCATAGTGTTTGGCCGTTATGAGCTAGATACCTGGTACCATTCTCCCTACCCTGAAGAGTATGCACGTCTTGGGAGGCTCTACATGTGTGAGTTTTGTCTCAAGTATATGAAAAGTCAGACCATCCTACGCAGACATATGGTAAGTTATGGAAAATCAATATAGTTGAATTGCCCAGTATTGAATTCCTGACCAGATTGATGATGTTTATAATCCACTTTTTAATTACGCACCAGAAAATGGATCGATTTCAAAGATTATAACTGATGTACGTAATTCGACAGTTTTATGTTTTTGTGCATTACATTTCTGATTCTAACTTTGAACGGTATCTGTTGAGTTATATATGGTTTCAAATTTAGTTTGATTTCATCTTGTTAATGTGAATTTAGCACAAATTAAGCAAGTTATGTAATTATTCGATATGCAATTAAGTGTACTGTGTTGTGCTTATTTGGCGTTCCGTATAATTCATATATAATTAATAATAATTCTTAATGATATACCAATAGTACCTGCTTTTTTGCCGGAAAGTGTAAATTAATGGTAACTTCCCCAACAGTAAACCACTTGCAAACTTGTCACTAGATTCACTAAAAGTTTATGAGGAAGTGGGTTACCTTAGTTATCATTAAATGCCACCAAATTAACAGAGACCAACAGATGATTAGTTTCATTAGCTTGTGCAATAGATTTACTTCAGTAATTATAGTAATATAATCCTTGCATTTGATATAGGGCTTTATTACGTATTTGAGACGTCTCAAAGCGCTTCACAGAATACTGCAAAGTGAATTGATTGTATATTTTGTGGGTGAAACTTCTATATAAAATATTACATTCTGTGCTTAATTTTTTCTCCGATTAATAATGTAGGCAAAATGTGTATGGAAGCATCCTCCAGGAGATGAAATCTATAGAAAAGGAAACATATCGGTATTTGAAGTGGACGGGAAGAAAAATAAGGTATTTTGCAAAAAAAAAAGATATTCAATTAATATGTATTAAGTTTGGACACTTTAGAAATATTTAGCATAGAATGCAAAGTAACAATTTTTTGCAATGATGAACTGACTTGTTATTATCCCATTTGGTTCAGTCCAACACTATTTAGCACGGTAAATCTAGAAGTGTGTTCCCACATATAGCAGTAGTAAGCACAAGTTTACCGGCAAGAGAATCAGAATTAACATTGCTTGTTATTGATGTCACTATGGTGAGAACTGAATCCTTGATATCTGAAGGTGGCTGCCCCAGAGTAATAGTTCACTTCCTGTCTTTCTTCAGCAGCACAATTACTCCTCACAACTGTTCCTGTCATTCTGTATGCCATTATATATTCTATATGTATGCGTTCTAGTGTGAAATCCAATGAAATGTTTTGCATCATCCATGATTACCAAATGCACTGTTCTCCAGTGTCTCCTATACTGGTGCAATATGGTTTCTTATCAAATGATCATTGGTAATCGCGTGGCATTTATTTGGTTTGGCTTGGCATGGTTGATTTCCAAACTTAGATTACTCGATTAAATGATGCCATAATTGATAAATATATCACTTTGTCATCAAACCTGGCCCTTAAGAGTCGACGTGGTACTTGATTTAGGATGTAGCAGTTAGCTTTACCTTTCTGTTTTGTGATTTTGTAGATATGGGGATCACAAGGCCTTTACCAGTAGAGCTATGCTCCACTTTACTTTCCTGCTGGCAAAAAAATGCATGTATTTTTTTAGACTCACAGCAAGGAAGGATGTCGGTAGCCTTTTCCTAAGACTTTGTTTAGCCCTCTCAGCCTTTTCCTCTGTTACTTAACAATATGCAGGTCCAGAGCATAAAAAGGCTTTATGCAGGAGAAAGATTTTAGTTTTACGCCTTTAATAAATGACTCAAGTTTCCTTCAACTGTGAAAGTATTATTTTTTTTCTTTCATTTGTGTTACAGATTTACTGCCAGAATCTTTGCCTTTTGGCTAAGCTATTTTTGGACCACAAGACTTTATATTATGATGTAGAACCTTTCTTGTTTTATGTGATGACAGAAGCTGATAACACAGGGTGTCATCTTGTTGGATATTTCTCTAAGGTAAAGGAACATTTTTTTTGATGTTTGGGTCTTGCCTTTAAAATTCCATAATTGAAAATGTCTTGTGTTTCTTTTTAAAACTTAAGGAAGCATTTTGCGATATCTCAAACTTAGTTTAGATAGTGCATGAAACAGCAAGCACTCGAAACAGCCATGAAACACTTTACTTGATACAGTCAACAACACAATTACATTTATAGAGCGCCTTTCGCATCGGGAGGACGGCCCAAAGTGCTGAGCGGTCAGGTGTCAGGACCCGAGTGGTGTAGGGGTGAGGGAAGGCAGAGAGGTAGGTGGGTGACCAAAGGTACAATCGAAGAGGAGGGTCTTGAGACCGGCCTTGAAGGAGGCAAGGAAGGAAGCGAGGTGAAGGGACCGTGGGATGGAGTTCCAGAGGGGGGGCAGAGAGGTTGAAAGCTCAGCCACCGCTGGTAGGGGAGGAAAAATGGAGCAGACGGAGCTGAACGGAGGGAGCGAGCAGTTTGGTAGGGAGTCAGCAGGTCAGAGATGTAGGAGGGGGTAAGGTCATGGATTGTGATCGGATGATCTATTTGCTTCTCTGAACACAGAGTATCGCACACTATAATAATAATCCTTGCATTTGATATAGCGCTTTTCACGTCGGCAGGACGTCCCAAAGCGCTTCACAGAACACACTGTAAAGCGAATTGACTGTATATTTGTGGGCGAACGCGGCAGCCAATTGCGAACAGCAATGTCCCACAAACAGTCGTGGATTGAAAATGACCAATTTATTATTGTTTTTGGTTTTGGAGGGCTTATTATTAGTCGTGTGGAGTAAGGAAACTTGCCCAAGGTTTTGCCCTGTCTGGAATTGAAGTCAGGTCTCTCGCTTGCAAAGCGAGTGCTCTAACCACTGAGCTACATTACTCCACCATAACAGAGATTAAGCCAAGAAATGATAACTCTTCAAGTGTATCTGAATCTGCGGAGCGTGTATGTAATATGGGAACCAATTTTCTATATTTGGTTCTGCTGAGTTATTTAAATCTTCGAGCAATTCAATTTGTAGTATATTCTGTGAAGCGCTTTGAGATGTCTCGGAAATCTGATAAGCTATATATCAAATGCAAGAATTATTATTTAATTATTTTGGAGATTCACTGCTAGTGGGATATTGCTGACAGTTTGAGGATTGTGATCGGGCGATCTCTTTGCTTCTCTGAACACATGGATCGTACACCATAACCGAGATTAATTCAAAACACGATAACTCTTCAAGTGTATCTGAATCTGAGGAGCGTGTATGTAATATGGCAACCAATTTTCTATATTTGGTTCTGCTGAGCTATTTAAATCTTCTAGCAAATAATAGCGGCTTTATGAATTATGGCTCTGTTGCCCTATGGTGATAGATTAAGTTTTGTGTCCTTGGTCATGTAGAAAAATGAATAGCCTCTAGAAGTATTTAGATGTTTGTCATGTTGTCCTCACTGGCGACAGATATCAATCACTTTAGAAGTCTTAGAAGACACCCTCTAACCACGGATGCCAATATTTTGTTAGAAGCAGCTGTTTTTTAAATAAATGGATAGAATTGTTTTTGTTCCTGGGAAAAACGCCCAAGCTCTATAAGCATAGTATGGCTTTATAAAAAGTCAAAATTTGCTGAACGGGGGGAAAAAAAAAAGAACTAAAGAAGAAAACTGAACTTCCCAGTGGCAGCTTTAATAACAGTGAACATGTGTGTATCCCATTTGAGATCAGAGGTGATGGCGAGGCCTGGGATATTGATAATGAAGAATTGGGTGTTGAGCCATTAAAGATAAGAGATTGTTGACTACACTTGTGAGAAACTTGAAGACGCTATTTTTCAAGAAAAGCAGATCAGCATTTCTCCATTGATTACGTCACAGACCGCGGTTTAGTGATTCAGACATTAAACCGCAAGATAAATGAAGGTTTTGTACACTGTAGACATGTTATCTGAAGTTGTTGTTGAATGGAAAGTGAAAGATGTCACTGTTGTGGAGAAGGAACAAAGTGGATAACGGACATTTGAGCAGATCCAGAGATTTGTAATAACTCTGTATATTGATCAGCAGAATACCCTGTGCACCACCAAAACCTATTTCACTGCACTATAATAGGTGCCAATCTTGGTTCCTATGGTTTCATTCTATTGTGAGTTTAGACAAGTGAAACACATCTACGAGTTAAATTGACAATTTATCATTCAATCTCAAAGATAAAGCATTGAATGACTGTGATTGGAAGCTCTGGAATATACATTATTATTTATTATTATTAATCTCCTGAATATCTTGAATGAATGTGGTGTGAGATTTTCTTCAACACGTCCTCACCCTTAGTGGACCTATTGCCTCTGCTGTACTACCTCTGATCTGCCTGCCCATCATTATTATTATTAATTATTATCATATCCAGTCATTTTTGTACAGGAACCAGGCACAAACCGGTGCTTTGAGAATACGTCAACAGTACCTTGAATCTAACAGCTGCTTCTTTATTTTAGGAGAAGAATTCATTCCTCAACTATAATGTTTCATGCATTTTAACAATGCCACAGTATATGAGACAAGGATTTGGAAAAATGCTCATTGATTTCAGTGAGTATGGACACCTTTAATGCTTGTCTTTGATTGTCTTTGTTATTTTGGTATTAAACAATGGAGTCACTAAACATGGACGTGTTGCCTGATGTCCTATTTGCAGTAATAGATAAGATTGGTTTGGATGAAGAAGGTTCAGCTGAGCATATCCCTCCAGAATACCCACCTTACTGTCTCCTATCCACAGAGTGAAGCTGCTTTTTTAATTGCATCCAACAACAACAATAACAACTTGCATTTCTATAGTACCCCTCACGCAGGGTAGAGTCCTAGAGCGTCCAATGTCCTTACCTCAACCACCCTTCCTAGCAAACTTAAGACTCCAGTTGTGACCACAAATGATTTGTATGACATGTTTTTTTCTCTCTCTTTCAAGGCTATTTGTTGTCTAAAGTAGAAGAAAAGGTTGGTTCTCCAGAGCGTCCTCTGTCAGACTTGGGCCTGATCAGCTACCGCAGCTATTGGAAAGAAGTACTGCTACGTTATCTTCACAACTTCCAGGGCAAGGAAATTTCTATCAAAGGTGATTGATTTCAACAATAAACAGTGTTTTCAGTCTAGGTCCTCCGTTAGATCTTTGACCTTTTTTTTGCAGCAGAGTGGAATGTTTGTGTACCATTGTGATACGTCTTCAAAATTCAACTTCCAAAATAATAAAGCGATATTCCTAAGAGACAAAATCAATATTGTTTTGAGATCATGTTCCTCAAATGTTGAGATTGGTGCATGGATGGCAAACCAAAAGAAATCAGTGGACCATTTCTAGATATTTAATAAAATTTCCATATTGGAAATTGGACCTTCAGTGTCTGGTCTGCGAAACCTTCCATTTGCTGAAAGAAATTGGAGTTCGATTGTTTTGGGTTCAAATATACATCTTAAAATATGCATATACCGTTATCATGTGTGACTTTTGTGTTTGTAAACGTGTGATTTGCAGTGGTGATTTAAGATTATTCTTTAAGAAATGTTAATATACAGGCAATTATAAAATTTTCGTGAAAGTGAGTGCTCGTTCATAGAAAGCAGTTCATACAATCATAGTATAATTACCACACAGTACCCATTGGTTGTGTGCTGTATGCATAAATGTACATAACCCATAATAAACTTTTTTTTGAGTATTAGCACCTTGGGACATCCTCCCGACATATTATTGTATTATTTGCAATGAGACTTTTTTGAAATGGTTCTTATTTCTACTATTTATAGTTTATTTGATACCTGGGGCACATTTCTGTTACTTACTGTTGTTCTGCCAAATAATCATTTTTATAATCCAATGACAATTTCTCATAGTGACACACGCATCCTTGTCTTTGTAGAAATAAGTCAAGAGACTGCAGTTAATCCTGTGGATATTGTCAGCACGCTTCAGGCATTACAGATGTTGAAATATTGGAAGGGAAAACACTTGGTTTTAAAACGGCAGGTAATTCACTCCAGTTGAAATATAAGATGGATTTTGAACTCTTTTTCTACTTTAATTTCAGTTTCTTTCAAGAACAGTTTAGATAAGAGCTCTCAGTCGCAGCACACAATCTTATCAATGTAGTTTGTAAAAGGAAAACGGGGCTTCTTAATTAATTATCAATCCACGACTGTTTGTGGAAAACTGCTGTGTGTAATTGACTGCTGCTTTTTGCCCACAAAATATACAGTCAATTTACTTTACAGTATATTCTGTGAAGCCCTTTGAGACGTCTCAACAACATAAGGCAAATGCAAGGATTATTATTATTATTTATAAGCAAACTGAGTTATAATGGGTTCTCCTGAACTTGGGGACACTCATACATTTTTAGATCTTCTAAAGTGGCCTAAATAACATATTTGGATAAATGTCGAGTGTAATTATGAATACATTTTAATCTAATGCATAAAACTTTTTTTTGTGGTGGAGTACAATCCCATAATTTGGCACATTTATAAAGTATACTGTCTCGTTGGCTGAAGTCAGTTTGTTAGAAATGAAACCCGTGCCGGATCCAGTAGTTTCTGCTCTCGCTGAAAAAACTTTTAACATAGTATCCTTCGCTGTTTAATTCTGTTTCAGGATCTAATAGACGAGTGGTTGGCCAAAGAAGCAAAACGAACAAATGGGAATAAAACCATAGACTCGAGCTGTTTGAAATGGACACCACCAAAAGGAACCTAGTTTGGCCATTGTTTTGTTCCAGTAAAGGCACCACCCAGTAAAAGCTAATGAACACAAAGCAGAAGATCCAGTAGTGAATCTTTAGCCTTACATTGTATTCTTCACCTCTGTTTGTCTGCAGAGTGCATAGTAAAGCGTATGACCCAGCAAATATAGTATTGTGCTTTTATCCCATTTGTTGTTTGTGGTAGCAGTTCCAACAAAGCAGCTTGACTCATGCTGTTAGAAGAGAGATTTGGGCTCCAAATGACAATTGTTTGGTCAGAAATAAATTTCACGATTCGAATATTGTTTTGGGAGTATTGAAAAGCATCCTGCAAATTGCCAGCCATGTTTTTGTTTTGTTGGTTTGCTTTTAATTGAAACGTCAACAGGCTATTTGGGCTTTTGAAGAGAGAAAAAATGTTCTTAGAAAATGTAGAAAGGGGAAAAGAGGGTTTTCTACGGCAACGACAGAAGAGTGTAGAAGGAGGCAATTTTGTTTTTTTTTTTGTAAAAAAACCCCCCAACTTTTTTCTCGTTAGTCATGTTAACACGTAAAAATAATATTTTGGGCAGCAATATCCCTAAATCGTCATCTGTCCCAAAGCATTGTATATGCTTTTGTCCATAAGCAGTCTAAGAATGTAATGGCTTTTATGAACGGGGATGCCCTTTTGATGGTTTTTAAATAACAGCGGACAGGGAGGGAGGAAGAAGACAAGGAAACTGAAGTTACAGTGTTTAACCCATTCACCAGCCTGATGAGCTAATACTAGTGTCACCAGTATAGCAAATGCTTCATGCTAATATATTGTGAATGCCATTCAAATTTATAATCGAGGCAACTTACTGAGGGGTTGTGAGATGCTGTTTACATTACTCAAAGACGCGGGTGGCCGTTTATACAGAGATCATCCTCTCAGTGGAAATGTAAGTCGTGTTTCATGGCTTCCTCGATGCATTGTTTTGCTGTATCACACCTCATCATTGTTTTCCATAAAATAATTAAAAATACAATTTACGTTTGTATTCAGTTTGTTTTTGAAACATTTTGAAATTCAATTGTTTTGCGGAGTCGTGAAGCGACTGCTGAGATCACGGGTTATTGTGATGTAAGAACTATTTCATGGGAGATAATGAAATTACGGGTACAGTATAAATATAAATACAGGTGACCGCTGCCATGTTTGGGTTAGACACACGTGTTATATACAAATAGGCCAAGTTGGTGAAAGTGTTAAATGGTTCCTGAGATAAAAACTACCCCCATTTTAATCTTATAAGGGAATAAAATGTATGAGTTAAACTGTGTTTTGTATTACAGTACGCACACTTGTCACGTGGTGTCTTAACGCTCTTTAAAAAGTTATGTCACTGGCAGCTAATCTTAGCACTGAACAAAAGCTTGACATCTTTGCAAACAGCCTTGTTTGGTTTGAGTAGAGGGTAATCTGTGTATCCTTTAGAAATCAACCAGGGTACACAATTTGTCTGCCTGACATTGTTGTGCCAAAGTTAGCATTGAGGAAGATTGCTGAACTATTTGTTGTACCAAATGTGATGTGACTCCTTCTGTACCTGCTTATCAATAAAGCATGTTGTACAGCATGTTTTCACCAGCTGTTAATGACTTTTTTAAAAATGTGATTAATATTTTATTTTTTCAAAAAAAATGTCACCTGCTGATGACTTAACATTTTAGGTAAGATTTGTGGCTTTATTGGGGTTTGACCAGTTTATGTCACCTGTTGCATTTCACCCACAAAATACAGTCAATTCACTTTACAGTATATTCTGTGAAGCGCTTTGAGACGTCTCGAAGATGTGATCAAATGCAAGGATTATTATTTGATTTCCAAACTTATTTTTTTTAAGCTGTCCCGTTAGCCATTGCTGGAACCACTTAACAGTTTCTCTGAATGGTGAGGTATAACCATTTGTTTTTCATTGAGCACTTCTTCATTTATAGAAAGTGTAAAGCAGCTCAGTAGATGAGTGAAGAAACAGACTAAATTGGACATCAATATTGACCTGTTTACAGTAAGTTGCAATGCTTGTAATTCAGGATCATGGTGTGCTTATAGCTGGGTCTGATACTAAAAGCTAGTTAAGGTGTTTCTATGAGAGGCAGCAGTATATTTGGCTTTCTGAAGATTTGTGAAGTGCTTTGAGAACTCTTGAAGACACAATAAGGCGCTATTTCAAACGCAAGTATTATTGTTTTGGATAGGATTGTGCATGTTTAATGTGGGTCAGAGATGCCACAAATCTCAGTTTACATCAACCATTAGCTTCGCTGGAACAGGGAAGTACTGACGTACATGGGTTCCGCTCTGGCACAGTCTACGTTTGGAACAGAATTCCCTGGAGTCGCTGCCCTCCTTATTCAGGAGGAAGCCATATCAAGATTTACAACAAGTTATTTTTGTTTGGCCTATTTTTCTCCTGACATTGCCACCTGGTAGCAAGCACACTCCAAGTGAGCATTGGCACTACAGCAACAGCCGATCGCAGTGTGATCAACTTACAAACACAACTTCTGTTTAGTTACAGTGCTGCCCCAAGTCTGTTTTTGCCTCTTATAAAATGGAATGACTTTTCTATGCAGAAATGCTTCCAAAGCTTCCCAATGGAGTGCTAACTAAGTTAGTATACTGATAACTAATGCAGACATTTGGTGTGGCAGATGGGCATGCTACCAGGTACTCACCACTACTACCATGAGACATATTGTATTCCTATTAAATGCCCTATTCATTTTTGCTTGTAAATGTCATTGACACATCAATCAGGCTGAGCAGAATAAAGGGAAATCCCCAAGGTAGAAGCAACTAACTTCTCTGAAGAAAAAAAATCAATCGCCTTCAAAGAACGAAAAGCTATTGTAATCATTATATGGTACATTTTGTTCAAAACAGACCCACAGCGTCAATTGTTTTGCATCATTTGTGTCTGAGTGGTACAAACTGTTGAATTATCTTTGCTGCTTATTGTAATAGATTCTTGTGTGCAGTTTGCCACCCCGCCCACCCCACCTCAATCATGTTGAACAAGTGCTTTGTGCTCAAGGCAAGATCAAAGACTGGGGTGTAGCATAATACATAGCAGCACTCGAGCTGCTACCTTCAAAGCCCTCCACGGCCTCGCTCCTCTCCACCTCTGTGACCTCCTAACCCCCTACCAACCTGTCCACTCCTACCGCTCAGCGGGCTCTGGCCTGCTTCACGTCCCCTGCCTTGCCCGCCCCACCACTGGCGGGCGGGTCTTCAGCTTCTGCCCCCACTCTCTGGAACTCCATCCCACAGTCCTTCCAACTCGCCCCCTCCCTTGCCTCCTTCAAGACTCGTCTCAAGGCGCTCTTTGACTGCACCTTCAGTTACCCCCCACCCCTACACCCCTCCTGATTCCAACTACCAGCTCAGGTGCGGATCCCTGATTGTCCAGCGCCTTGGGACGTCTGCCTGATGTGAAAGGCGCTGTACAAATGTAATTGTTGCTACAGACTCTCATTTGGTGCTTTGAGTAAATCTTGTTAGTTTTCTCCTGTTCCTACTATTTAGCGACTTACTGGATCTGATGCTGCTGTTTCTCCTCTCAGTTTATTCAATTATTGACTAGACATAACACTTAACAGCCATCCAGAGTCTCCCTCTGCAACAGGAGTGGGCCATTCAGCCCACCAATCTTGTTCCATCATCTTATTAGATCATGATCGATTTTTTAACCTTATTTGTCTACCTTTGTTTTTCTCTCTTTTTCCTTGATAACCTTAACTTGGTGGTTAGGCATTTTAAAGCTTGTTTGAGGTAGTCTTGTAAAACCCAAATACTTTGTTCATACTATCTCACAATGGGAATGGTATGTCCAGTGGGTCCTGTATGAAGGATGCTTATCTAAGAGCACTTTAAAGTAGAGTGGAGACATTAAACCCTGGCTCAGGTGGGAGATGAGTAGCTGAATCGGTTGCACATTTTTCTACTCTTGAATCATTGATCAGTACGTGGGAGTACTGCTGCTGATATATTAAAAGGCAATGAATCCAACACCACATTACTCAAAGCAGATCACTTGTTAACCTCCTTAGTCTTGATCTATTCATAATATGGTACATTCTGTTCAAAACAAACTCATGGCAGCAATTGATTTGCTCTCATAGCTATAACCCTTCATTTTTTGTAATATAATGTATAATAATAATCCTTCACATCTTCTAGATGTCTCTAAGCGCTTCACAGAATATACTGTAAAGTGAATTGACTATATTTGTGGGCGAAACATGTCAGCCAATTGTGCACAGCAGCGTCCCACAAACAGTCGTAGATTGAGTGACCAAATTTTTTTTAAGTATTATCCGTGGAAAAGCAATCCGCCAATTGACTAACAACCGGGTTCTTACTTACTGCTAGGTAAACAGGCGTGTGGAGTAAGGAACCTTGGCCAACATTTTGCACTGCCTGGGAATTGAACCCAGGTCGCTTGATTGCGAGGCGAGTGCCCTAACCACTGAGCTACAGGACTCCACTTGGTGACTGGGCAGGCATTGGATTTCTTCCAACGCTACTATTATCTGATCTAAGGTTAGGCACCCAAAACTAAACTCAACAGCTCAAAATGAGGTATCACCAGCACTATATACAGTTGCAGCAATGCTTCATTTAATGTTTCATTTGTTTGTTTATAGCCATTAACTTTTTTGGTTGATCTTTGATTCTGTAAACTACTTAAGTACTTGGAACCCACAATCCATTTATTTATCTATCACCCCATCCCCCAGCCTCAGGAAACAAAGAACATTTCAGTTTGTTCCAGTTCACAAAACTCGCAACTACTGACTAATTGCTTTGAAAGGATTATTATTGATAGACAATCAATGACAATTGGATGGATATCTTCCATTGGTTTCACTATCAATACTTAATTACTTCAGCATCACTGTTTCCACTAACCAATGTCGAAATGTATATGATAATATTCTTCAGCAAATCTTCTGTTTTGTTTGGCAGACCACTGTACCCATTCAAGACCGTCTGCCTGGCTATAGAATCCCCTGATCTGCTGTCATTTTTGTGTAATGGATTCCAGGGATAATGAATGACTCATTTGTTTAAGAAGGGGGAAGTGATCAGGAATTACTGGAAATCTGCATTAAAGTAAGGATACATGAAATGACTGGTTGCACTTAGCAAAGTCAATCAAGAGTTCCATGATTCTCCAGCTCAACGGCATAATGTAACGTACTTGAGTCTGTCTCGTATCTTTATCATCCTCACTTTTGAGATATGTGTTACCATGTCATCAAAACGTCTCAAAGAGTTTCAGGTGGCTGCTGCATCCGCCAACAGATTTACTGTAAAGTATTCGTTCAGACTGTATTTTGTACACCACATGGTAGACAATTGGTAACACAGCGATGTCCCACATACATGCATTTAGTGATTGATCAATTAGGTATCCAGCCAGCAGCGTTAAGCACTTTATAAATGTTCTGATCCATCCTACATGAAGGGCACTATCTAAATGTGATTTGTTTGTAAAATACAGTGTTCCCAATGTGGTCTCTAAATTCTATATTAATAGCCAAGTTAACAGCTTATGTGTTTTATAAGGATAATTATAATCCTTGGATTCGATATGATACATTATCACGTCAAAGTGCTTCACAGTATGGTGCAGTGAAATGGAGAGACTGTGTATTTGATGGTGAATGCAGCAGCCAATTTGCGCACAGCAATGTCCCACAAACAACCACAACAACAACAAGATTCCATTTATAGAGCGTCTTTCACGTCGGGAGGACGGCCCAAGGCGCTGTCCAGTTGGGTCAGGACCCGAGCAGGGGGGAAATGGTCAGGGTGAGGGGAGGGAGCGAGGAGGGGGTAGAGAGTCGAGAGGGGAGCTGAAGGCTGAAGGTCAAAGAGAAAGGTCTTGAGACCGGCCTTGAAGGAGGAAAGGGAGGAGGCGGCGAAGGCACTGGGGGATAGAGTTCCAATGAAGGACTAGGAATTTTAGCATTCCCACTAACAGTATAGCATGCCCATCACACACATTTACTGAGATCTCAAAATATTCAATGGCATAACGTAGGCTCTGAATCTACTTGTTTCTTTTACATATAAAAATGGGAAGGCGAGAGGGAAAAATGTGAAATTTAGAGGTTTGAAGGGTTAGGACACGGCAGTGGGATTGAATGAATACCTTTCCTCTGAGAGGTGGTACAGACTCGATTGGCTGAATGTCCTCCTATTCTGTAAATTTCTTTGATTGATTCTATGTCAATTTGAAATCTTACTTGATGTCCAGAGACCATTTCATTGCGTTAACATATTGTTCATTGATCCATGTTTTCATTACAACAGATATATAACTAACCTTTGATGTGAATCACAGAGCAAAAAAAAAGTAGTCCCAATCAAAGGAACAATAATTGTTTTTTTACTGTTTAAAAAAGTTGGCACCAGACATACTATAAAACCGTTAACTTGATTAACTAATACATTTATCTGTAGACATTTCTTTGAAGGTTTTATGAGAGGGGGGGCTGACTGAATGAAATAGCAAGCCTCAGGCACCTGATGTGGAAAGTGACATAAATTAGCGGTTTGTACCAAGTAAATTAAAGTACAGATTTTTATTTGTTATATAGGTGCCATCATGTGAATCATTTTAGCTCTCGCCGACATGGCTATTTATGCAGCTATAATTATGTAAATGTTGTCAAAGCCACATTTTTGACCATATAACATTCAAACTAGGATGGTAACTGAACAGGGACGAACTCAATTAGTGAGATCAGCAGTAAAGATGAAATCCGGAGTCTAGCTCATTGCCGGGATGTGAACACAGCTTGTCCACTTTCCCCAAAAGCAAAGTAAATTTCAAAAACACAGTACAATTAATACAAACTCGATTAGTTGAAGGCTCATACTTTGACACTCATAAACCACAGTTGATCAATGATTTGGATGTCTAGGCAAGATATGAAATACGTAGGCTGAAATAGACAAATTACGTAAGGTTTAAGTGGGGGGGGGGTTTTCGCATCAGGATTTAATGCTTGGTAAGTTCAAAGGAGTTTAAGCGCGTTTCTTTTCATCACACGGTGACTGGCTATTTTGCCAGAATAAATACCCAGTCTTCCAGATGGTCAGGTGTTAGGAGCCATGGAGGTGGATTTCACGTTTAACAATGGTTTATTTGCGTCTTCTGCTGTAGTACGGGGAGAGTTCCAGTTCGGGTAGCGGGTCTGAAAAAGGGAAAAAAAGGCTGTCAAGTATATCACATTCAAGCATGCCGGGTGAATAAACTGCGGCGAAAAGCACACATTTAAAAAAAATCTATTTGCAGTCCTCTGGCGTCAAACTACATTGGAGCACTTTGCAGCTCTGTTTTCCTACAGCGAACAAAACAAACAGTGAACACTTTTCCCAATACCAAGTTTTTGTTCTAAGCGCAGAGTAAGACCCCACTCCCCCTCCCCCCCCATCATTAATGTCTTCTGATCACCAGGATAATTCATTCTAATGGTCATGTTGGTGTGTCAGCACTTCATTCCTATGAGGCTGATGGAGCTGAGCACCACCAACAACTTGCATTTTAGAGGTAAAAATCCTCAACAATCCTGACTATTCATCCAACACGATTTAAATTAGTGACGACTTAAACAGTGAAATAAATGATGACCGCACACATAACACACACATCCACATATACACACATACAGTGACAACCAGTTAATAAATAGTATTAGAGTTTTTTTAGTGAAAAGTACAAAATTAACCATAATCCCTGGGATTATGGGATTATCTGTCTTTAGAATTTAAATTATATGATAATAATGCTTGAAATTGATATAATAACAATAGCTGCATTTGATATAGAGCCTCATTATGTCACTGAGATGTCTCAAAGCGCTTCACAGGATACCCTGTAAAGTGAATTGACTGTATATTCTGTGGGCGAAACCCATGGGAGAGCAGAAAAGGAACACAAGTCTACAAAATGAATAACGTACCAGCATCAGACCGTCTACCCATAAGTCCGATGAACATCTCCCCCTTTTGCCCTAGGATTTTAAAAAAGAAAAGATTAAAAAACAAATCGAGATTTAAGATTTATTAAAACAAAAATTTTGACCTTAATATCTGACCAAAGTTGTGGTATTAACATAATAAATTCCTGTTTCTGCCCTGTTTAAGTTGAGTCGAATCGTTCTGTATGAAACCACAATGATTTGATATAACGTGTTATTTTGATGTGACCTATAATAATAATAATCCTTGCATTTGATATAGCTCCTTATTACGTCTTCGAGACTCTCAAAGCACTTCACGGAATATATGGTAAAATGAATTGACTATATAATTTGTGGGCGATCTACTGAATAGATCACAAGATTGGTTCAGAAGAAGGTCATTCAGCTTGTATGATCTCATCCCTCCAGAACACCCACCCTATCGTCCTCCCATTACAGCGTCAAGCTATTTTTTATATGAGCCCTATGTTCTGGCCTCAATCACCCTCCTTGGTCTCAACCATCCTTCCACTAACTCTCTAGAAATATTTCAATCTTCAATGGTTTGGTGCCCGAGAAATGAGATCGCCTCTCGACCCAGCAGCGCCTTGGGACGTCCTCCCGACGTGAAGGGCGCTATCCAAATATAATTTTGTATTGTATTGTTACATGCCTTGAATCTTACTCTTTGTTCCACTCTCTTGCCCAAATGTTTTTATTCACACACACACTCAAACTCACACAGTGCAAAGCAAGACTTAATTTTCTGTCTGGTAGCATCGAGGCTAGGGCCATCAGCATTGAATAATATTTGTCAACTATGCTGTTGTCCACTTCAATAGGCCTTAACCCCAATCTCTCCCTGCTGTGCCAATGTCTGCTTTTGCCCACAAAATATTTAATCAACTCGCTTTACTGTATATTCTGTGAAGCGCTTTGAGACGTCTTGAAGACGTGGTCAGGCGCTATATCAAATGCAAGGATTATTATTATTATCTCACCATTTTTTGGACAGTGATTCAAGGATCATGTTTGCCGTTAGCTGGTTAAACTCCAGCAGCTACCCCACCGTATGCTCTAGGGTACATCCCCAAGCCTTTGCTCCAGCCAATGTGCGACTAATACTGTCCGGAATCATGTAAGCAGGGTACGTCCCTCCGGGGAGAATGTGCATTCCATTCCAGATACAGGAAATTTCCATATGTAGGTGGAAGACATAGATGTAACTCTCAATCTGGTACGGTTACTCCTAAGCATGGTGATGGCTTTCCACATGTGTCAGCCACCCAACTGACCAAAAAGAAGGCATAGGGGTAATAATAATAATCCTTGCATTTGATATAGCACCTTATCACATCTTCAAGAAGTCTCAAACAGCTTCACAGAATATACTGTAAAGTGAATTGACTGTATATTTTGTGGGTCAAACGTGGCAGCCAATTGCGCACAGCAGAATCCCACAAACAATTGTGGATTGAGTGACCAATTTATTATTATTATTATTAGGGAATTATTACCTCCGGGAAAAGCCATCCCACCAATCGACTCACAACCGGGTTCCTACTTGCTGCTAGGTAAACAGAGGCATGTGGAGTAAGGAAACTCCTTGCCGGAAATCAAACCCAGGTCTCTTGCTTGCGAGGCGAATGCTCTAACCACTGAGTTACAGAACTCCACAAAGGGTTAAGTAACATGAATGATAATTGCTTAAGGTGATAGCGTTCAAACACCTTGTTGGAACTTACTGTCAAGGCTAACGCAAGGGTTCCCTTACCATTAATGTGAGGAGGAGCTGACATGAAAGGTGCTATATCAAATACAAACATTATTATTATCACAGAACCAGACAGTATATCCAACACTATATCCTCTGTCTTGGGTGAAAAAGTTCTGGGACTTAATGTTTCCTCCAGGCAAGAGGATTGAAACTCTTCTCTCGTCAAAGCTCTCTGTTGCCAGAACCATTTACAGGTCCAGATCCAACAACAACATTACATTTATGGAGTGCCTTTCATGTTGGGAGGACGTCCCAAAATGTTGGGACTCGCTGACAAAAATCCACTTGCTGACAAACCACAGATAAGGCGCCCTTGTTTATATATTGCAGCGTTCCTAAATTACGTCCTGAATTCATTTAAAGGTTGCAAATTCTGCATGATATTCACAGTAACAGGAATAAATCTGCCCTCTTACAGGCATTCATCAGAGAGCAGTCTTCTTTAACATGTGCCTGTTAAGGTTTTATTGTTTTCTGCACGTCTCCTCTCATAAGCTTGGTAAATAAATATTTGAAAGCAATAACAAGATACACAATAGGTCTAGGGAGGAAAAAGCTGAATCAACAATTAGATTACAAACTGCCTACATTACCTAGTGAGATTGATTCATAACTGCCTACTCCCTTTCTGGACACTTGATTGCTTCAAATTAATTTTTAATTATACAGATTATTATTGCCTGAAAGCAATATACGATAGGCTGGCTGTGAAGCAATTGAAAGTTCAAGTGATATCATATTTAGAATTAAAGCTAGTGGCTGGAGTGATGTATGGTGACTTCAAGATTAGATGTAGTGCTTTGCTTATAGTGCATGTTTGCTGGTGCTTTAGGAGTTATTGTTAACGGGAGAGTTTGAGTCTGAATGGGCCCTTAAACTCCACATTAGTATCTAAGGTTTCACTTCTCCCCCTAGAATACCTTACATCTATGTAAACTCAATTTTACTGGAAACTGGTCCCATGGATATGCTTTTTACTGTACTGTTATTACAATTAGCTTCCCCTCTTGGCACATTTCCTATTTACAATCCAATATCTAAACTTACATAAATAATGATATATAATAAAAACCCTTGCATTTCTTCTAGATGTCTCAAAGCCTTTCGCAGAATACACTGTAAAGTGAATTGACTGTATATTTGTGGGCGAAACATGGCAGCCAATTGCGCACAGCAGTGTCCCACAAACAGTCGTGCATTGAGTGACCAAATTGTTATTATTTATTTATTTCCTTGAGGGGTTATTACCAGGTGTGGAGTAAGGAAACTTGCCCAAGATTTCACCCTGCTGAGAAATGAATCCAAGTCTCTCGCTTGCGAGGCAAGTGCTCTAAACATTGAGCTACATGGTCTATACATAGAATATACAGCACGAAAAGACGCTATTTTCCCTTTTAGATCCGCTAGTTGCTATCATACACTTGTATCCACTGCTTGCCGACTCCCCTAAAAAGTGGGAACAGCCTATTTATTGCTAACTTTGCTGAAATCGCAAGGTTTACTTCAGTCCTAGTTACTCTGGTATCCTCTGCGGGACATTAACTAATGATTCTGGTTTCAGCCCAATAACTAATGCACAGAAATCCAATTAGCAAACTCAATTTGAGAGTCAGTTGCATCTAATTGCATTGTCTCAATCTGAGGGTCGACCGTGATAAAGGGAATGAAATGAATGTCACGCAGGAAAGTTCTGTGTAAGGTGAGCTTCCTAAGGCAGCAGCGAAGGAACTTTTCCACACTGATGCCTTCTTCTAGAAACTGGAAAGCTATTGCTGTGTTCAGTGCTTAGTTGGACTTTTGCATTAATCCTGTAAAGCCATAGAAATTTACAGTGCAGAAGAAAGCCATTTGGCTTATCGTGTCTTTGTTGTAGTCTTTGAAAGAGCAATTCATTTTTACCAGCCATTTATCTCCAATGCTCTCGCAAATAGATATCTATCTAGTTTCCTCTTCAAAGTGAATATGGATCCTGCCTTGACCATCTCAGCAACAAGGCATTCCATATCCTAGCAACTCTCTATATAAAGAAATTCCTCCTAACCTCTTCCTTTGGTAATATCTCAATACCACTGTGAGCTACTCCTAATGTTAATAGAAAAACAGATAAAATCCAATAGCACCCCTATGTTGTTCACGTGTTATAAGCCCTCCACCAACACACACCCACTATACACACAAACACACACATACATGTACAAATGAATTACAAAGACTTACTTTTACGACCAACAAACTCTGTCTGTTTCGGGTCTGAAAAATATCAAGCATTGGTAAATGTAAAGAGAGCTGAATGAAAAACAAATCTCAGTTACTGAGGTCTTTAAATGCTTCTCTTTAACCTCCCCCAATACTCCTCCCCTTCCTCCTTCTCACCTTATACAATGTTGTATTGTACCATGTGGAATCCATTGATGCTGAAGTCAAATAGACCCGATAAAGTGAAAAGTAATGCTTGTGCTGGAGGTGCTATTATGTTCAAGTGGCTATTTGTCCGTGTAACTGAATCGTATAACGGACAATGTGTGTCCGTGGGCTATTTAACCATGTGGGGACTCACAATCAAGCCTGATCCTGGCCTTCATCCAACAAGAGTGGTCGGGTACATTTCAGCACTGGACAGCAATTAGAGGTGAGAACCGTCGCTGATTTTTTCCCCTTACGTAACCCAGAGCACTAAAAGCCAATTGTGGAGCTCTGTCTGGTAGCCTAAGTGAAATGAACCAATTGACCACAGCTGGGAATCAAATCTCCAATATTCTGGTCTTGAATGGCCAGAGTTAGGACATTGTTCAGCGCAAAGTTACTAAGTTACCATAGACAGGTACTTGAAAGGAAAAAATTGCAGGGGTTTGGGGAAAGAGCAGAGGAGTGGGACTGATGGGGTATCTCTTCCAAAGCACCGGCACAATGGGCCGATGGTCTACTTCTGTGCTGTAATAGTCTATGATTCTAATAAACTGTTCTCAAGATAACAGCTTGGTAAGCAACACACAAAGCCCTGGAAGGATGAGATCAAACAGGCTAAAAGACTTCCTTCACCTGAATTTCTCTTGTATTCTTGCGAGTAATGGCTTTATCTACTGAACCATCAAGGAAGCTCCATCCATCATTGAAAGATTCGCAGCACAATACAATGTGCCAAATGCAATTCGGAGAAAAATAAATCTAATATATTCCAGTTGAAGGGAGAGAGGGATCTGATCAAGCATGTATTAGTTCGGAGGCATACTAAATCATTAAACATGATCAGATAATGGCAGAGCACTCGAGAGGAGATGAATGAATTGTATTACAGTTGGGTTGTCAGTATACGATGTGTTAACTGGGCAAGACAGGAATGATTAATGTCAATCTCCCAGATGGTTTTGTATACACCTGAAGTATGAGGGTATGTAAAACGTTACAGTGTAGAGCATCAACTGTCTGATCAATAAAAGGATTAGGCATAAATCATTACTGATGACAGTTATTATGCACATCAATAAAAACCGTTGGTGCCAAGGATAATTGCCAATGAAGTGATTAATAGTTCTAAGTTCTAGCCCTGAGAAAATCAGCCAAATGTTGCCAAAGAAGAAGTTGCTTTTTTCAAACATGGAGGAACCCAGGTTCCTCAAATAATTCAGGGCAGTCAGTACAGTCACATACAACTAGACTTAAAGAAAGAGCTACCTAAATATTGACACAATAGATTCAAAATATAAGGCAAGTCATGAATGCAAGGCTATGAAATGATTGTCCAAATACTGGATGTTTAACCGTTTTTTGTCACTATCCCTTTCTTTTAAGCTGTTAAGAAATAACACAGAGTTTACATGTAAAGATTACATAATATGCAAAAGATTCAAAGCAGGGTGCACCCCTCAACAACAACAAGTTGCATTTATATAGCGGTCCTCACACATGGTAGCGTCCCAGACCGCTTGACAGTGGCAGAACATGACTCCGAGCGAGAGACGGGCAGAGGGAGTTGATCGTAGGCATGGTCAAATAGTGAAGATCCTCAAGTGCGATCTGAAGCTGGGGAAGGAAGGGGCAAGGCAAAGGAAGAGTGTTCCGGAGTTTAGAGAGAGCTCACAACCCATTCCAGACACAGGGAAATGTCCATTTATGGGTGGCATACATGGATATGATTCCCAGTCTTACTGGTTTGGATATTCTTACGCACAGTGATGGGTTTCCACAAATGTCAATGCCCGACTGATCACACAAAAAAAACTCTGAGCTTTTTGTTGTTATAATATTTGGAAAGGACAGAAATACAGATTAATATGAGGAACAGCCTCTTACCAGGGGAGCGCTTGCCCATTAAACTGTAGAACTTTTCATATCTTGCTCTCTTCACCATGCGCGCAAACTGATCGATCGGGTTGTCCTCTGGCAAATCATCCTGCTGACAGAAAAGGCATCGAAGACGATTAATTTTTTCTCAGTACACATTCACCGAAGGTCTAAATTCAATGGTAAAACATAGCTCTTGGCTCTTTTTTATTAGTGGAAGGAACAGTTGGAATGGACCAGATGAACAGAATAAAAATGATGAGAATATAATCATTGCATTTGATAAGATGCTTTGTCACGTCGTCGAAACACCTCAAAGCGTTTCACGGGATTAACTGCGAGATGTAGTAACTGTGTATTTTATAGATGAGCATGACTGCCAATTTGTACAAAGCAATTTCAACAAGAACAACAATTTGCATTTATATAGCGCCCTTCACATGGGGTAGCGCCCGGAGCACTTAATTTCCCACAATAGTCACAAAGTAAATGATTAATTTTAATCGGTGGGAGGGGGTGGGGGGAGGGCTGTCGCTGGCCAGGACACTGAGAAAAATTTCCTTCTCTTTTGAAATAGTTTGAATTAATGGAAGAAAAAGCAATGCTGTGTGATTTGCCAAGAGAAGATTAATCAAATGAATAACAACAACAACATTACATTTGTATAGCGCCTTTCACGTCGGGAGGATGTCCCAAGGTAACATCCTAAAAGGTAGCTTATTTGTTCTTACACAAGAACAAATATTATCAACAAATATCCTCAAATAATAAGAATATTATTTGAAAAACTGGTTGAATTAAATGCAACGTTATGACAATTGCATTCAACAAACAGCACATCAAAACATTTAAAACCTCTTCAATTATTTTGAAATGTAGCCGACTATCACGAGTTAGCTTACTGAACACGGAAGCCTCTGAGTATTAAACAGGTCGATTCAAAGTGGTGAGAGAATAGACTCCTGATTTCAATGGGCAGAAGGTTGATGCTAATCCCGGGACGAGATGAAATTAATCAAATTGGACTTTGAATGATAGGTTGAGCTGGAAAGATTAAATGGGGTTTTGCAGTCCTACCTTCTTATTCTCTTGTCTTGAAAGTATCACAATGCTCCTCCCTTAATAATAATACTACTAATAATACTAATACCGATCCTTGCTTTTGATATAGCTCCTCATCAAGTCTTCTAGATGTCTCAAAGCGCTTCACAAAATATACTGTAAAGTGAATTGACCGTATATATTGTGGGCAAAACTCTTAAGGGACTCTTTAGAGATATAACAGTAGAGGCCTTTTTTGGCAGTAATTGCAGGCTGTTCTTATTCCTGAACTCTGCTTCTTACCAGTAAGTCTACAATGAATTATCCAATTAATTTACTTTATATAATAATAAGTGTGATAATACCTTAAAAAGAAAATTTGGTCACTCAATCCATGACTGTTTGTGGGACACTGCTGTGTGCAATTGGCTGCTGCGTTTCATCCACACAATATACAGTCAATTCACTTGACAGTATGTTCGGTGAAGCTCTTTGAGACGTCTCAAAGACATGATAAGGCGCTATATCAAATGCAAGGATTATTATACATTAAAGTCAGCAGACATATTATTTCTCTCCTAACCTTTTTAAGACACATTCTCCCACAGCTACCCGCCATAGTAATCACTTTTGGTGCATTAGAGTGTTTTAAAAGCAATTTGATCAAAAAGAGCAGGACATTCTTTAACAACTGCTTGGCTGCTCGATTTGGTCACAAACAGGTAAATAAATGTTAGTAAATAAATGCCCCCGAGTTCTCACTTGCTGTTACTGATACAATAGAGGGGGAGAGAGAAAGAGAGAATAAACAGAGAGAGAATAAGCAGAATAAACAGACCCAACGAACTGTAGGTACCTGTAACAATTTACTGTGACTGGTGATCTGTGGGAGTTCAAGTGGTCTTGACATGTGCAACGCAAAACATTATACCCCAGTGTAATATGCACGACTTATAGATGAAGGAGGGGATACAGTGCAGGAAAAATTAAGGTACTTTACATATAAAAGGACTTTATACAAAAGGAGTTTTCAGTTTGTAACTTCCATTCTGTATAAATTATTATCTAGTCCTTGATGGTGAGAAATTAATATTGATAAATAATATGTAAGATAATAATCCCTGCATTTTGATACGGCGCTTTTCACTTCTTCTAAACGTCTCAAAGTGCTTCACAGAATATACTGTAAAGTGAATTGACTGTATATTTATGGGCGAAACGTGAATTTGTGAATTCAAATCCCCCCTCCCCACTCCTCCCCAAGAAAACTTGAAATGAAACTGGGGAAACATATTTCAAACCCAGACCTTGCTTTCCAGATTCCACCCTTTGACAGAAATGAACATTTTACAGCAAAAACTGACCTATCATTTTGCCACCTGATAATTCAGGCTCATACCCCAACAAACTTTAAGCTGCCCCTTCTCGTTCTCTATGCTCTCATCTTTCCATAATGCTACTGCTTTGAGCATTTTCTCCCCCTTGTTCTTTTTTAACCATTCAACCACTGAATTTCTAAAGCTGTGTTTTACAGCAATGCAATTGCAATGTTTCCCTCCCTATCACCCCACCCCACCCACAGACGCACACACTCCCCAGAAAAGATGAAATCTTTGGCTGTTTGTGTGGGGGGCATCGCTGTGTGTAAATTGACTTCCCTGACTCGCCCACGAAACACACAATCACTCCGTTCAAGAGTAAATGCTGCAAAGCACTTTGAGACATTCTCCAGATGTGAAAGGCGCTACTTTACTTTATCTAATAATAATACTTGGATTTGATACAGTGCCTTACCATGTGGTTGAGATGTCTCAAAGCGCTTCGCAGAATATACTGCAAAGTGAATTGACTGTATATTTTTGTGAGTGAACACGGCAACCAATGGCACAGTCGTGGATTAAGTGACCAATATGAAATGCAAGGGTCATCATTATTACTGTTATCTAACAATCAAATCTATTGCAAAAAATAGCTCAAAGCGCTCCTCACCTGCCACTTCTCACCGCCTCCTCTGTTCCAGGAATCCTTTTTGACATCGGGTGATGTCTCTTGCTGGCAATCAACATGTGCACAGAGCAACATCAGCACCAGAAGCATTTTAATGCTTTCCATCCTCAAGCAATGCTTCAAGAGCCGAACTCCTATTTGCAGCAGAGGGAAAGAGTGTGACACCAGAGCAACAACTTAATGCAAAATTCTTTATGAACACACACACACATATATATGTATAATACTGTATATAAAATAAAGGAATTAAATAATAATATTCAGCTCAAATAGCAGACAAAGAGAAAGAGAGAGAGATCTGTTGGTGCTTAGCCTGTCACACCAGCACTGTTGTGATGTTAAGATATTTAGCCTAAGAAAAAAAGTTGTGGAACCTCTGATGGCTTTCAGCTGATGTGCTGGTTTCTCTTTGATGTTTCAGAGGGTCTGTCTTCCAATTTATAGCAAATCTCAGCATGATCCACCGCTGTACAGCCCTCCCTCCTCTCCTGGTAGATGAATCACCAGCTCTTTTTATGTGACAGTAGGAATGATTGTATTCGAGGGTGGGGTGAGGTGAGGTGGGTGTTTGTCTCTCATCCATCGTGATTGCAGGACACTTTTATGCACAATCGAGAATTGCAATAAGGTGTCACACAGAAGGAAGGAAGGAAGGAAGGAAAGGGGGAAGGAGGACAAACAGAAAAACAAGAAAGACAGGAAAAGAGACAAAGGAAAGCAGAAAAAGAGACAGAACAAAAAACAGAGAGAGAAAGAGAGAGAAAGAGTGAGAGAGAGAGAAAGAAAGAACAGAAGAAAGATAAACAGGAAAAAAAAGAAAGAGAGTGAGTGACAAAGGCAAAGAAAAGCAAAAAGCAGAAAGATAGACAGAAAAAAAGAAAGAAAAAGAAGATAGATAAATAGAAATAACAAAAGAAAGAAAGGTTAATTTCATCATGTAAACCTGGAAATAAGGATTGAACCCTTTCGAGGTCCCAGATCCCAGAAAATGGTTCAACAACAACAACAACAACAAGATTCCATTTATAAAGCGCCTTTCACGTTAGGATGACGTCCCAAGGCGCTGCACAGTTGGGTCAGGACCCGAGCAGGGGGAAATGGTCAGGGTGAGGGGAGGGATGGGAGGGAGCGAGATGGGGGAAGAGAGTCGAGAGGGGAGCTGAAGGCTCGGTCAAAGAGAAAGGTTTTGAGACCGGCCTTGAAGGAGGAAAGGGAGGAAGCGGCGAAGGCACTGGGGGATAGAGTTCCAGAGCCTCGGGGCTGAGAGGCTGAAGGCCCGACCACCGATGGTAGGGCGATTGGGGCGAGGGACGTGGAGCAGACCGGAGCCGGAGGAACGGAGGGTACGGGCAGGTAGGTAGGGGGATAGTAGGTTGGAGAGGTAGGAGGGAGCAAGGCCGTGAATGGCCTTGTAGGTGAGGATGAGGATCTTGAAATCAATCCTCTGGGGGATGGGGAGCCAGTGGAGGCGAGCGAGGGTGGGAGTGATGTGGTCGCGGTGTCTGGTGCGGGACAGTACACGAGCTGCAGAGTTCTGGATGACCTGCAGTGTGGAGGGAGGTGGAGGGAAGGCCGGCGAGGAGAGAGTTCCCATAGTCCAGCCTTGAGGTGACAAAGGTCCAAATGTGAAACCAAAATTTTTTGTGGTGTAAGTGTGTGCAGGGCCATGGGAGGTCAAACCTGGAGACTTCAGTTCCCTATTCTTTAGAACCTAAGTAATAAAAATAGAATTATTAGCCACTGAAAATCAATGAGGATTAAAGATGCAATTTTTTGGTAACTATTTCTTTGTAAAATGTGCTCTTCCAGCCTCGCAAAGGATAGCAAGAAATGCCTCCAACACATAAAAGTGCAGCACTTTTAATAGTAATAATTAAAATCTCATACATTGCTTTCTCACGTCATCGGGACAGGATTAACTGTGAAGTGTAGTGACTATATATTTTGTAGGCAAACGCGGCAACCAATTTGCACACGGCAATCATAGGATACGTCCGATGTGCGACACTGTTAGTGAATTGACCGCTTAGTAACCAAAATGGAGTTTAGGGTTCTGAGACTTAATTCTCCAACATTGTTTCTGTGCAGTAATAATAATAGTAATCCTTGTATTTGATGTAACGCTTTTCGCTTCTTCGAGACATCTCAAAACGCTTCACAGAATATACTGATTATTTGTGGGCGAAACGTGGCAGCCAATTGCGCACAGCAGTGTCCCACAAACAGTTGTGGATTGAAGTGACCAAATTTTTTTTTTGAGGGATTCTTATCCCTGGAAAAGCGATCCGCCAATCGACTAACAACTGGGTTCCTACTTACTGCTAGGTAAACAGAGGTGTGTGGAGTAAGGAAACTTGCCCAACATTTCGCACTATCTGGAAATAGAACCCAGGTCTCTCGCTTGCGAGACGAGTGCTCTAACCACTGAGCTGCAGGACTCCACAATGTAGTAATAATTGATTGAGTTTAAGTTAAGAGCTAACAATGAAATTGATATACACAATGAATGTCACATGCATTCCACACACAGGATTTCAACATACGAAAGTAACCCAGGCTAATAAAGATTGTTGAATCTTGTGAAAATGCTTTACTTCAATTTAATTACTTCAATCCACAACTGTTTGTGGGACGCAATTGGCTGCCGCATTTTACCCACCAAATATACAGTCAATTCACATTATAGTATATTCTGTGAAGTGTATTCAGATGTCTCGAAGGTGTAACAAGATGCTATATCAAATGCAAGGATTATTATTATTATTCAAAGCTCGGCTGTGTTAACCACAGAAAGCGTGCCTGTCGCCTCTCACGTGTGCGGCTGTGAATAGTGCAAGTGCAAGTCGAGAACATTTAAATTGTGGTCAATTAACTTTACAGTTTATTCTGTGAAGCGCTTTGGGACATCTCAACGACGTAATGAGGCGCTGTATCAAATGCAAGGATTATTATTATTATTATTACTAAAGTGGAAAAATACAGCCTCAAACACATCTCCGGGAAAATTATCAAGCATGATATCAGGTAACACTACATCATGTCAGACTTCGGTGTCTATGAACCGAGGAGATTGATAAGGCCAGTGTAACACCAGGGGAGGATGACGCATATGTATTGTAAGCGCTTTAAATGGGACAATGAAGTGAGTTGATAAGGGTGCTTGGAAATGGTGCTGCATGTTGCTAGGAAATAATTCTCTCAATTATCTCACTGATCGTCTATTTATTCTTTATTGGAATATTGTAAACGCTCAATGCAATCATTGTGAACACAGAGTAGTGGACACACTGGGCTACAGGCGTACGCACAGATCATATTGAACCCAGTGTCTTTTCCCACTCGAGCAAGAGTAAACCATAGCAGTTGTAAACAAAATCACGCCTGACCTAATATTCTTCCGTTGCTTTTGACAGGAGATTCCCAGGAGATGATATGACTGTGTTTCCGTGAATTATACTCAATGCAGTGGTCAGTAACATTTAGGGATTCAGTCCCCAAAGCAAGGCATATATCCCCCCCACCCCCCACACCCCACTCCTCCCCCTCCAATGTAAATATTTCTCACTCAATTTGCATTTCAGCCTTATTCCTGTTAAGTGAAATAAATATCTTGAAAAGAATTTTCATCTGAAAATAATTTTGATCTTGCTCTGCGAGGGAGTGTGGACTTCTTGGGCTGAATGGTGTCCTTCCGCTCTCTAGATCTATCTCTCTTAGAACATGAGCCAAACTGTCATTACATAGATACAATACTTATGTTAGTGCGTTACCCATTAATCTTTAATGGCCTAGCACCTCCCTATCGATCAGATCTCCTACCCCAATAAATAATAATAATAATAGTCATAATGATTCTTAGATTTGATATAGCACCTTTCACGGCTGGGGGTTGTCTCAAAGTGCTTTACTCTAAGTGTAGCGACTGTGTATTTTCAGGCAAAAGTGTAATAAATATATAATACAGGTATAATATGAGGGGAAATAGACACTACCTTTGCTCAGCCAACACCGGCCTGCTTCACGCCTTCTGCTCTATTCCACCCCACTAACAGTAGGTGGTCTTTCAATCATTCTCTGCCTCACTCCCTCCTTTGCCTCCTTCAAGACCCGTTTCAAGACCCTCCTCTTCGACTGTGCCTTTGGTCACCCTCCTTCTGACCCTGCCCTCCACCCTCGCTGATCCCGACCCCCAGCTTGGGTCCGAAACTCTGACTGCCCAGTGCCTTTGGATATCCTCCTGACGTGAAAGGCTATACAAATGTACATTTCTGTTCTTCCTTGGAACCCTTTCCTAGGGTCTCTCCAACTCCCTCCCTCCCTCCCTTCCCTCCCCTCCATCTTCCACCTTTTCCCTCCACCCCCCTATTGGCTCCCACTCTCAGTTCAGAGAATGCTTTGAGATGTCTTTCTGAGGTTGAAAAGCATTTCGTAAATTTCAATGTGTTGTGTAAGAGTCGTTTGGTTGGCAGTAGGACCAGAATTTGATATGCAACGTGAATTATATATTATGTATTCTGTAGCACTCAGTCAGATGTGACCACATGCTGCTAATGGATGCCCCTGACATACCAGGGTAGTATTAATGGGACATTAAAAAGTAACTGATGCAGACTGGTACATTAATCAATTAATGAATGCAGAATTGCTAGTTATTAAATTCTCCGTCCTGTATCTTAAAGAGTGCTGGGAATAATTAGCAAGAGTATGAATCAGCCAAAGACACTGAAACGCCACTTCCCTCTCCTCCTTCATTACGTTAACTAATTTGGGTTTGAAAATCTTTGATTTGCGGTAATTTGATAACAAGATGCAGTGGCTGGCTTTGACTCCTCATACTCCCTACATAGTAGTACTACATAGTACTACTATACTACTTCCAACTTTGAGTCAGGAGTTGCAGGTTCCAAGGCCCCCCATTGGGAATTTGAGCTCATATTTAATAACTAATGTGGTGTCCTGTAGCACAGTGGTTAGAGCACTCGCCTCGCAAAAGAGAAGACCTGGGTTCGATTCCCGGGCAGGGCGAAACGTTGGCTAAGCTTCCTTACTCCACACCTCTATTCACCAAGCAGTAAGTGGGAACCCGGTTGTTAGTCAAATGGTGGATCACTTTTCCGGGGGTAATAATTCCTTCCAAATGTTTTTTAAAAAATAATAATTTGGTCATTCAATCCATGAATTGGGTTCATCCCAATCCTGTGCGCAATTGGCTGCTGCGTTTCGCCCACAAAATATACAGTCAATTCACTTTACAGTATATTCTGTGAAGCACTTTGAGGCGTCTCTCGAAGATGTGATAAGGTGCTGTACCAAATGCAAGCATTATTATTATTATATATTCTAGGCTGATACTTCAATATAGTGGGGGTGTTGCACTACATTGTCTGGGACGCTATCCTTTGGATGAGACATGCTTCAGATAAGACGTTAAATCAAGAACCTGTCAACTTGTTCAGATGGGTGTTCAGATCCCATGACACTGTTGGA